AGCAAATGCAGAATCAGTAGCCAAAGTATTCTTGACAGAGATCTTTCCAAGGTACGGCCCAGCGAGAGTTATCAGATCCGATAACGGCTCGCATTTTAAGAACCAGACAATGACCCAACTATGTGAGAGGCTGAATATAAAACAGCATTTTGGAGCAGTGTTACACCCGCAATCACAAGGGGTGATTGAAAGGTTCAACCAGACACTGAAAAACAGATTGGCACACATGTGTAGGGCTGGAAAAATGAATTGGAAACAGGCACTGCCTATAGCCTTGATGGCAATAAGAGGAGAACCAAGCAGGCCAATTTTTATGTCACCATTTCAACTAATGTATGGGAGACACATGCCCAGTAACTTATCTCGTTCACTGGAGCTCCCACCTCCAGCAGCCACTGATGATGCTAGGGAAACTTATATGAAAACATTGGTCACTACAGTGAAGTTTCTGCAAGATAACATTGTCACGCTGACCCAGAAATCTCCAGAGCCCCCTTTGCAGGCTGTAAAAGACAAACTTACAGTTGGAGGCTACATTTATGTGAAAAACCAGAAACATTGTTGGGATCAGCTAACTTGGAAAGGCCCATTTAAAATCTCCAAACTATACGAGTATACTTTGAAATATTACTTAGACGACTCACAAACTACAGAGTCATCATTTGTGCACATATCACACACTAGGCCCACTAGTGCACCAGAAAGATCCCTGCTTGATGTAATGAGAGATATCACTACGTCATCAGAAAAGGAGGCCGACAGGGGGACAGAGAGGGAAGTGTCTGACTCTATTAGTTAGAACATGGGGAGTTCTAGGGAGGGCGGAACAACCCTATAATGCACCTATAGAGTCCCTCCAGATAGCCCTGTGATGCAAGTGTCTGATGGCATAGGGACTAGTGATGACAATAGTATGAGAGACCTTCTGGAACTGTTGGGAGTTGAGGATTTTGGACTTTGGGGCTCTGGACTTCCAGACTTTGGACATCGGGAGGTTGAGGTTCTGGCCCCTGAGGTTCAGGAGTCTGGATATCAGGATTTTGACATTAGAGATGGTGGAGGACAGGGTTTTGGGGTCCTGGACATTGGAGATTGGGTTGTTGAAGGTCAGGGCGATGAGGTTCAGGATGTTGAATATCAGGATATTGCCATTTTAGATTTTGGGATTCAGGGGTTTGAAATTATGGTCAATGGACTTCAGGTTATTGAAGAATTTGGCAATTTCTCTGACTTTATGGATTGGGCTGATCAAGGGGACTGTGCATTTAACTGACGTGGTTTGGATCCGACATAAGTGATAATGGTGGGGGTGACAAATTGGCCTATAAGGGATGTTTAATTTATCACAGGATTGTGATAAAACAGGGGGAAGATTGATTATTGATTATTTTTATTGATTGATTATTAATATTATTTTTATAATTATTGATTGATTATAGATTATTTTTATTGATTGATTATTAATATTATTTTTATAATTATTGATTGATTATAGATTATTTTTATTGATTGATTATTAATATTATTTTTATAATTATTGATTGAGTATATAAAAAAAAAAAAAAAAAAAAAAAAAAATATTCATGATCCAGAATCAACTATTTAGATGAGCAATTGAGCAAATCAAAGCTGAAAACACTAATCTGGTATGCATGGGATAGACTTTAAGATTGAGGTGTTCACCATGCAGGTACTCTCAACATGATAGGACCATGGACATTCTTAGGGTTGAGGACACGAGAGTGGGTGAGTATGGTGGTAGGTATAGGGATTATAGCTGGATTTTTTATGTGGGCCTGGGAAACAGAGTTAGGCCAGGGGTATGCAAAACCAACAACTGTCTATGGTAAGGAGAAAACTCTTGGTGTCAATTCCTCAATTTCTGATTATTCAGACATTTTACCCGGCAAACAGATGAAAGAACGCAAAGTTCAACCTACAAAGGTGACAGGGATAAAAATAAGACCAAAAAGGGAATTGGATAAACTGGGAGCATGTGCAAAAAAAAAAAGCGACAATACCTATTTGGGGTGCAATTGTGTTTAGCAAAGGGAGAACATATGGCATTCCAGGTACCTTTTATAGCATTAGTAAACAAAGGGAAAAAAGTGGGAGCAGAAAATTCAGATTATGAATGGTACATGACAAATGACATGAGAGATAAATCATGGGGGACAATGGTGGCATATACTGGATTAGATTGGACACCAACACCAACTACAGAGTTTGCAAGACACCATTCTAAAATAATTTCCATGACAAAGGGGATTATGCAGGGAAGTGTACCATGTCTTACAATTACAGTGGACTTGAGAGGTGAGTCATTGGACCTAAGAGACAGATCAGGGAAGAAACCTCTATGGTTTTGTTGGGGATTTCTGGTAGTATTCCGTGCATACGATCCTTATGTAACAGAGTGATAACAGCCGCTGTGGAAGGGAAGGTGGCAGAAAGACAACTGCTACTAACCCAGGACCTACAGTGGGAACCAGAAGAATTGATGACCATAGCCTAAGCCATAAAGGACAATCATCAGAAGAACGGGTGAGTATGGCCTGTGATATTGTCAGAGTATCACCAGAGGAGTTGTGAGTATGCTTTATGATATTATCAAAATATTTTAATCAAAAATGTATAACTGCTTGCATGTAAATAACGCACATAACCTTGCAAAATTGTAAGAGGGACTTGGGAAAATCGGGGATGCGATAAAAAATTATAAAAATTAAAAATTAAAATTAAAAATTACATAATTCAAATTGATGCACGACACAAACATATTCTTTCTCCACAGCTCTTGCAACTATTGTTTTTGTTACACAGACTAGACACCGCAGCACACCCACATATAGATTGTTTTATAGGATCACTTCAATGTATGTAGTTTAGGGTGAGTTGGATGCTCAGTCCGCCCAGAGGCCTTTGGGGCGGGTCTGAAGTAAGGGCTGAGTGGAAGACCACCACATTTTTCATAATGTCACATGGGGTGGTTTAGGAGTTCACAGATCGTCGTGAAGACTGGGATTAGACTGAGTATAGGATGTAATGCTGGATCAACTGATGAAGATGGGCCATCTGAGACGAGAGTGATGGATGTCCGAAGAGTTCCTCTCCGGCCAACAGGGGGACTGTTGGAATATTAACTCTTGCACCAGTTAAAACTAAAAACAGTTTAGTATTGTTTCTATTGCCAAATTAGCACTTGTTTGTGTAAATCTCAAAGAGCAGTGAGTTCAAGGTTAGTCTGTGTGAGAATGGGAGGGGGACAAGAGAAAAACAACTGCGGTTATCAGAGCAGGTGCAGGCTTTGGCAGCTGGCCAGAAGAAGTCATAGAGTCCACGAATCTGTGATGTCAGTGACCTTGGGTGTACAGTATAAAAGATGTACAGGAGGAGGCACGGAGACTTTTTGCTTTTTCGTCTGACAAGGAGCAGTGAGACGTCCCCGGGGGCCACTCCTTATCTGAACGCGAAGCGAGATCTGTTCGCGGACCGTTATCTTGTAATATTGCTTGCAAAATCTTCAATATAACTTTTTGAACTCAGGTTTGGTATCTGTCATTTCTATTACTGTCTTAACATTGGTTTTTGTCTCTTGTTGAACTAAAAGGACCTGTAGAACGAAGGGCTGTGTTTGCGGCCTCTCTGCAGCTTCTGGGGCGGGGGAATTCTGACAAATTACTGCACATGGGAACATCATTTGCATGATAACTACCACACAAAGACAAAACGCTTATAATTTCAGAAACTTTTTCTGTAAACACGGAGTTACCTCAGTAAATGTGTGCGTCCATATGAATGTAGTCAATACGCCTGAAAACGCTGTGAAACTATGCCAGACCTGTTGGTGGCGCTGTGACGCAATGACGGGATCAAGCCCAAACTTCCGTGACGGGAACTGGGCATGCGCAGAATTTTGTAAACAGACAACATGGCGAGTGGGCGAGCTGGTACTACATTAGTATGGACGGACGATGAGGTTGAACTGTTGCTTCGGGTCACACTGGATTACAAAACCAACAAGCCATTGTTGTTGTCATTATTTTCTGAGTGCGGCGCATGCGTGCTTTAACAAGAGGCGGGGCGATGACGCAAGCGTCTCAGATACATTGCGGAGAGGCAGTAACCACGGAGCGGCATATACGGAGTTTTGAAATCTTTCCACTCTGGGACCTACTTTCAAAAATGTTCGTTTACACCCCCCCAAAACGCCGGCCTCGTATGGACGATACACTGGATTGATAAAGTATTTTTGCGTTTAGGCCTGAGCTTGACTTCGTGTGGACAGGGCCTAAGTGTTGCGCAACAAAACTTTAGAGTCTCTGACGTAGCTACAATAATCAGGTGTTGTCAATCCGGACATCACTGGGAATTTGCGGTTATTTACAAACCAAAGTGTCTAAGTGGTATTAACAAACACTCACCGCGGTAAACAAAGATATTTATCTACACATTAACTTACTGCCTACAATTCGGGTTGGCTTGTTTATGAATAAAGTAAACAGCGTACCTTGAATTGCGTGGGCTTGGACGCTACTCCACACGCGCCCACATGAAAGCGTGGAGTCTACAAAGGGTTTGCAAAGATTAACGACTGATCATGCGGTTTGCAACATGGACATTTAATTTGCATGATGCCGAACAGTTGGCAAAAGGCTCACCTTTATGATAGAGGGAAAAACGCTCCGATAACAAAGTTGTAGTAGTAGTAGTAGTAAGTAATCTTTATTTATATACCGCCTTTTCACTGCACATCGGAGTCTCAAAGCGGTTTACAATTGTTATTTTTGGGAGTGGGGGTGCCAGTACCTATTGTACATATTTTTAGTGGTAGGGGAAACCGGAGCACCCGGAGGAAATCTACGCAGACACGGGGAGAACATGCAAACTCCACTCAGAAAGGCCCTGGTCCAACCAGGATTCGAACCCAGGACCTTCTTGCTGAGAGGCGAGAGTGCTATCCAGTCAGCCACCGTGCAGCTTTGTAACGCAGCTATGACATGCCACAGGTACAGCGGAGGAGAGCGTCAAGTGGGGGAGCGCGCATCATAAGGGAAACCAGCAGATGTGGCGGAAGCTGACCCGCAACAATAAAACTAAAACTAAACTGAAATGCGGGTTACACTAACATGCTAGCTGCTGTTAGCCTAACATGCTAGCTGCTGTTAGCCTAACATGCTAGCTGCTGTTAGCCTAACATGCTAACTGCTGTTAGCCTAACATGCTAACTGCTGATTACTGACTTGAGCGTGTGCTATACTAGGCCCCGCCCCTTGACCCACATTCCTGCTTCCTGAGTCTAAACCTCTTACTGTCTCTTACTGTCTGACCTCTGACCAGACCTGGACCAGACCTGGACCAGACCTGGACTAGACCTGCTTTAGACCTGTCTCAGACCTGCTTTAGACCTGCTTTAGACCTGTCTCAGACCTGCTTTAGACCTGCTTTAGACCTGCTTTAGACCTGTCTCAGACCTGCTTTAGACCTGCTTTAGACCTGTCTCAGACCTGTCTCAGACCTGCTTTAGACCTGCTTTAGACCTGCCTTAGACCTGTCTCAGACCTGCTTTAGACCTGCTTTAGACCTGCCTTAGACCTGTCTCAGACCTGCTTTAGACCTGCTTTAGACCTGTCTCAGACCTGCTTTAGACCTGCTTTAGACCTGCTTTAGACCTGCTTTAGACCTGCTTTAGACCTGCTTTAGACCTGCTTTAGACCTGCTTTAATAATAATAATGCATCGGTTTTATATAGCGCTTTTTCTGGACACTCAAAGACGCTTCACATGTCATTATTCTTTCTCTCCAAACACGGTGGTGATAAACTACTACTGTGGCCACAGCTGCCCTGGGGCACACTGACAGAAGCGAGGCAACCAGTCTGTGCCATCGGCCCCTCCGACCACCACCAACCATTCGGACACACACCACACGCCCACAAACCTGTCTTAGACCTGCTTTAGACCTGTCTCAGACCTGCTTTAGACCAGTTTTAGACCTGCTTTAGACCAGTTTCAGACCTGCTTAAGACCTGTCTCAGACCTGCTTTAGACCTGTCTCAGACCTGTCTCAGACCTGCTTAAGACCTGTCTCAGACCAGTTTCAGACCTGCTTTAGACCAGTTTCAGACCTGCAGACTCACCCATCCCTCTGTCCCGTTCAGGTCTGGGACGTCCCATATTACCCTGAGGAGGCGGGGCTTAAGCACAGTTATAAATACAGACAGCTGGTCGGGTCAACACCCGGATTAGAGGAGCAGAAAGGAGCCCAGAGGAGCAGAGGAGCACAGAGGAACAGAGGAGAACAGAGGAGCAGAGGAGCACAGAGGAACAGAGGAGCACAGAGGATCAGAAAGGAGCACAGAGGAGCAGAGGAGCACAGAGGAACAGAGGAGCAGAGGAGCACAGAGGAGCAGAGGAGCACAGAGGAACAGAGGAACAGAGGAGCACAGAGGATCAGAAAGGAGCACAGAGGAGCAGAGGAGCAGAGAGGAGCAGAGGAGCAGAAAGGAGCACAGAGGAACAGAGGAGCAGAGGAGCACAGAGGAACAGAGGAACAGAGGAGCACAGAGGATCAGAAAGGAGCACAGAGGAGCAGAGGAGCAGAGAGGAGCAGAGGAGCACAGAGGATCAGAAAGGAGCACAGAGGAGCAGAGGAGCAGAGAGGAGCAGAGGAGCAGAGAGGAGCAGAAAGGAGCACAGAGGATCAGAAAGGAGCACAGAGGAGCAGAGAGGAGCAGAGGAGCACAGAGGATCAGAAAGGAGCACAGAGGAGCAGAGGAGCAGAGAGGAGCAGAGGAGCAGAGAGGAGCAGAGGAGCAGAAAGGAGCACAGAGGAACAGAGGAGCACAGAGGAACAGAGGAGCAGAAAGGAGCACAGAGAAGCAGAGGAGCACAGAGGAGCACAGAGGAACAGAGGAGCAGAAAGGAGCACAGAGGATCATTTGGCACAGATCTTTCGGCTCTGGTTCTAGTGCTGGTCCAGACTGGGACTTCAGCCCAGCTCTGGTCTCAGCCCTGTGTTGTCATGCAGAGCTCTGAGGACCTGATTGAGGACTGGGCCAGGTCTCTTTCCGAATTGAGCCCCATGAAGACCGACCTGTCCCAGATCCTGATCCCAGAGGAGCATCTGCTGCAGCAGGACCAGGTGGACCTCCTAGGTCAGCAGTGGGACCATGTGTGTGTGAAGGTAAGAGACCTGCTGTAGTCCTGCTGTAGACCTGCTTTAGTCCTGCTTTAGATCTGCTTTAGTCCTGCTTTAGTCCTGCTGTAGTCCTGCTTTAGTCCTGCTTTAGATCTGCTTTAGTCCTACTTTAGTCCTGCTGTAGTCCTGCTGTAGACCTGCTTTAGTCCTGCTTTAGTCCTGCTTTAGTCCTGCTTTAGACCTGCTTTAGTCCTGCTTTAGACCTGCTGTAGTCCTGCTGTAGACCTGCTTTAGTCCTGCTTTAGACCTGCTTTAGTCCTGCTTTAGTCCTGCTTTAGACCTGCTTTTGTCCTGCTTTAGACCTTATTTAGACCTGCTTTAGTCCTGCTGTAGACCTGCTTTAGTCCTGCTTTAGTCCTGCTTTAGACCTGCTTTAGTCCTGCTTAAGTCCTGCTTTAGACCTGCTTTAGTCCTGCTTTAGTCCTGCTTTAGACCTGCTTTAGTCCTGCTTTAGTCCTGCTTTAGACCTGCTTTTGTCCTGCTTTAGACCTTATTTAGACCTGCTTTAGTCCTGCTTTTGACCTGCTTTAGACCTGCTTTAGTCCTGCTTTAGTCCTGCTTTAGTCCTGCTTTAGACCTGCTTTAGTCCTGCTTTAGTCCTGCTTTAGACCTGCTTTAGACCTGCTTTAGTCCTGCTTTAGTCCTGCTTTAGTCCTGCTTTAGACCTGCTTTAGTCCTGCTTTAGTCCTGCTTTAGTCCTGCTTTAGACCTGCTTTAGACCTGCTTTAGACCTGCTTTAGTCCTGCTTTAGTCCTGTTTTAGACCTGCTTTAGACCTGCTTTAGTCCTGCTTTAGACCTGCTTTAGACCTGCTTTAGTCCTGCTTTAGTCCTGCTTTAGACCTGCTTTAGTCCTGCTTTAGTCCTGCTTTAGTCCTGCTTTAGACCTGCTTTAGTCCTGCTTTAGTCCTGCTTTAGTCCTGCTTTAGTCCTGCTTTTGACCTGCTTTAGTCCTGCTTTTGACCTGCCTTTGACCTGCTTTAGACCTGCTTTAGACCTGCTTTAGTCCTGCTTTAGTCCTGCTTTAGACCTGCTTTAGGCCTGTTTTAGTCCTGCTTTAGTCCTGCTTTAGTCCTGCTTTAGTCCTGTTTTAGACCTGCTTTAGACCTGCTTTAGTCCTGCTTTAGACCTGCTTTAGTCCTGCTTTAGACCTGCTTTAGTCCTGCTTTAGACCTGCTTTAGACCTGCTTTAGACCTGCTTTAGTCCTGCTTTAGACCTGCTTTAGTCCTGCTTTAGTCCTGTTTTAGTCCTGCTTTAGACCTGCTTTAGACCTGCTTTAGACCTGCTTTAGACCTGCTTTAGACCTGCTTTAGTCCTGCTTTAGTCCTGCTTTAGACCTGCTTTAGTCCTGCTTTAGTCCTGTTTTAGACCTGCTTTAGTCCTGCTTTAGTCCTGCTTTAGTCCTGCTTTAGACCTGCTTTAGTCCTGCTTTAGTCCTGCTTTAGTCCTGCTTTAGACCTGCTTTAGACCTGCTTTAGTCCTGCTTTAGACCTGCTTTAGACCTGCTTTAGTCCTGCTTTAGACCTGCTTTAGACCTGCTTTAGACCTGCTTTAGTCCTGCTTTAGACCTGCTTTAGTCCTGCTTTAGACCTGCTTTAGGCCTGCTTTCGGCCTGCTTTAGTCCTGTTTTAGACCTGCTTTAGTCCTGCTTTAGTCCTGCTTTAGCTTTAGACCTGCTTTAGTCCTGCTTTAGTCCTGCTTTAGACCTGCTTTAGTCCTGCTTTAGTCCTGCTTTAGTCCTGCTTTAGTCCTGCTTTAGTCCTGCTTTAGCTTAGCTGCTTTAGTCCTGCTTTAGTCCTGCTTTAGTCCTGCTTTAGTCCTGCTTTAGTCCTGCTTTAGTCCTGCTTTAGTCCTGCTTTAGTCCTGCTTTAGTCCTGCTTTAGTCCTGCTTTAGTCCTGCTTTAGTCCTGCTTTAGTCCTGCTTTAGTCCTGCTTTAGTCCTGCTTTAGTCCTGCTTTAGTCCTGCTTTAGTCCTGCTTTAGTCCTGCTTTAGTCCTGCTTTAGTCTGCTTTAACCTGTTTTAGACCTGCTTTAGACCTGCTTTAGACCTGCTTTAGTCCTGCTTTAGACCTTAGCTTTAGACCTGCTTTAGACCTGCTTTAGACCTGATTTAGACCTGCTTTAGTCCTGCTTTAGACCTGCTTTAGTCCTGCTTTAGTCCTGCTTTAGTCCTGCTTTAGTCCTGCTTTAGTCCTGCTTTAGACCTGCTTAGACCTGCTTTAGTCCTGCTTTAGTCCTGCTTTAGTCTGCTTTAGTCCTGCTTTAGACCTGCTTTAGACCTGCTTTAGTCCTGCTTTAGTCCTGCTTTAGTCCTGCTTTAGACCTGCTTTAGACCTGCTTTAGACCTGCTTTAGACCTGCTTTAGTCCTGCTTTAGACCTGCTTTAGACCTGATTTAGTCCTGCTTTAGTCCTGCTTTAGACCTGCTTTAGACCTGCTTTAGACCTGCTTTAGACCTGATTTAGTCCTGCTTTAGACCTGCTTTAGACCTGCTTCAGACCTACTTTAGTCCTGCTTTAGTCCTGCTTTAGTCCTGCTTTAGTACTGCTTTAGTCCTGCTTTAGTACTGCTTTAAACCTGTTTTAGGCCGGCTTTAGTCCTGCTTTAGTCCTGCTTCAGTCCTGCTTCAGTCCTGCTTTAGTCCAGCTTTAGTCCAGCTTTAGTCCTGCTTCAGTCCTGCTTTAGACCGGGTTTAGTCTCACCCCAGTGGTAGGTCTTGGTCTCCCCCTGGTGGGAGACCTGGCAGCTGTACTTGTGCTCCTTCTGGGGGGTGAAGGAGGCGTACTCTGTGAGGTGGTAGAACCAGCTCTCCTCGAAGGCCAGCTCGGTCTGGTGCGCCCCCTCCATAGCGCCCCCGTCCTGCAGGAGGGTGATGTTCAGCTCCGGAGGGTAGAACATGCTGGCGTGACACAAGAGCATGTTGGGCTTTCCAAAGAGACCAGGGGCCCGGCTGTAGATCTGCACTTTAGGGGCCGCTGGGGAGAGAGAGAGAGACATCAGAGAGAGACCAGGGAGAGACCAGGGAGAGACCAGAGAGAGACCAGGGAGAGACCAGAGAGAGACCAGAGAGAGACCAGAGAGAGACCAGGGAGAGACCAGGGAGAGACCAGAAAGAGACCAGGGAGAGACCAGGGAGAGACCAGAGAGAGAGACCAGAGAGAGACCAGGGAGAGACCAGGGAGAGACCAGGGAGAGACCAGGGAGAGACCAGGGAGAGACCAGAAAGAGACCAGGGAGAGACCAGAAAGAGACCAGGGAGAGACCAGGGAGAGACCAGAGAGAGACCAGAGAGAGACCAGAGAGAGACCAGGGAGAGACCAGAGAGAGAGACCAGAGAGAGACCAGAGAGAGACCAGAGAGAGAGACCAGAGAGAGACCAGAGAGAGACCAGAGAGAGACCAGAGAGAGAGACCAGAGAGAGACCAGAGAGAGACCAGAGAGAGACCAGAGAGAGACCAGAGAGAGAGACCAGAGAGAGACTAGAGAGAGACCAGAGAGAGACCAGGGAGAGACCAGGGAGAGACCAGAGAGAGACCAGAGGGAGACCAGAGAGAGAGACCAGAGAGAGACCAGAGAGAGACCAGAGAGAGAGACCAGAGAGAGACCAGAGAGAGACCAGAGAGAGACCAGAGAGAGACCAGAGAGAGAGACCAGAGAGAGACCAGAGAGAGACCAGAGAGAGACCAGAGAGAGACCAGAGAGAGAGACCAGAGAGAGACTAGAGAGAGACCAGAGAGAGACCAGGGAGAGACCAGGGAGAGACCAGAGAGAGACCAGAGGGAGACCAGAGAGAGAGACCAGAGAGAGACCAGAGAGAGACCAGAGAGAGAGACCAGAGAGAGACCAGAGAGAGACCAGAGAGAGACCAGAGAGAGAGACCAGAGAGAGACCAGAGAGAGACCAGGGAGAGACCAGGGAGAGACCAGAGAGAGACCAGGGAGAGACCAGAGAGAGAGACCAGAGAGAGACCAGAGAGAGACCAGAGAGAGAGACCAGAGAGAGACCAGAGAGAGACCAGAGAGAGACCAGAGAGAGAGACCAGAGAGAGACCAGAGAGAGACCAGAGAGAGACCAGAGAGAGACCAGAGAGAGAGACCAGAGAGAGACTAGAGAGAGACCAGAGAGAGACCAGGGAGAGACCAGGGAGAGACCAGGGAGAGACCAGGGAGAGACCAGGGAGAGACCAGGGAGAGACCAGGGAGAGACCAGAAAGAGACCAGGGAGAGACCAGAAAGAGACCAGGGAGAGACCAGGGAGAGACCAGAGAGAGACCAGAGAGAGACCAGAGAGAGACCAGGGAGAGACCAGAGAGAGAGACCAGAGAGAGACCAGAGAGAGACCAGAGAGAGAGACCAGAGAGAGACCAGAGAGAGACCAGAGAGAGACCAGAGAGAGAGACCAGAGAGAGACCAGAGAGAGACCAGAGAGAGACCAGAGAGAGACCAGAGAGAGAGACCAGAGAGAGACTAGAGAGAGACCAGAGAGAGACCAGGGAGAGACCAGGGAGAGACCAGAGAGAGACCAGAGGGAGACCAGAGAGAGACCAGAGAGAGACCAGGAAGAGACACTGTAAACAAATACCATTGATAATTGAACCAGTGAGTCAAAGCAGAAATATGTCGAATTTCTACTTCACCGAGTTCATTAAAGCTGAGGTCTGTAACTTTCAAACAATAGAACTGTATCAAACGCATGTCTCTGTGAGGACCCACCTCCCTCAGCCAATCAGCTCTCAGCCCAAAGGGTCAGATACTGACTCACAGGGATCAGGACAAACAACAAAAGGAAAATAATAGTGTTCGTTGTTACAGTAAATAACGTCATGTATTTAACTATGAAACATCTGTACTGTAGTCCTGGTCTAGTCCTGGTTCAGTCCTGGTCTAGTCCTGGTTCAGTCCTGGTTCAGTCCTGGTCTAGTCCTGGTTCAGTCCTGGTTCAGTCCTGGTTCAGTCCTGGTCTAGTCCTGGTTCAGTCCTGGTTCAGTCCTGGTCTAGTCCTGGTTCAGTCCTGCTCTAGTGTCTAGTCCTGGTTCAGTCCTGGTCTAGTTCTGGTTCAGTCCTGGTCTAGTTCTGGTTCAGTCCTGGTCTAGTTCTGGTTCAGTTCTGGTCTAGTCCTGGTTCAGTCCTGGTCTAGTTCTGGTTCAGTCCTGGTCTAGTTCTGGTTCAGTTCTGGTCTAGTCCTGGTTCAGTCCTGGTCTAGTTCTAGTCTAGTCCTGGTCAACTTCTGGTTCAGTCCTGGTATAGTCCTAGTCTAGACCTGATCTAGTCCTGGTTCAGTCCTGGTTCAGTCTAGTTCTGGTTCAGTATCTAGTCCTGGTTCAGTCATGGTCTAGTCCTGATTCAGTCATTGTCTAGTTCTGGTTCAGTCCTGGTATAGTCCTAGTCTAGACCTGATCTAGTCCTGGTTCAGTCGTGGTTCAGTCATGGTCTAGTTCTGGTTCGGTCCTGGTCTAGTCCTGGTCTAGACCTGGTCTGGTCCGCCATCTTGCCCCGCTGTTGTTTTGACGCATTTCACACAGAACAGTTTTTAGCACTTTTAACTCACCGTATTTGGCGAAAATCGCGCCTGCGCAGATCAGCAGCAGCAGCGAAACAACAAGAGGGGTATTCTTCATTCTTCACGATCAAAATTCCACCGAAAACGAGATCAAAAAGAGACAAAATAACTGCGCCAGAAGAGTGCGAGCGGAGGCTCAGTGAGAGAAACGAAACTGAAAGTAAAAAGTGCCGAGAGGGGGAGGGGTATTGATGTGACAGAAAGAAATACTTTAGGAGGATTTTACCAATTGTTCATGTTTCTAGTGGTAGGGGAAACTGGAGCACCCGAAGGAAACCTACACAGACACAGGGAGAACATGCAAACTCCTGTAGTGTCTGCTTTCCACATTCGTGTGTCTTCATTTGAATAAAACTGTGTTTGGGACGTTTGGTCCGATCCTGAGAGACCTAGACTATATATATATATATATATATATATATATATATATATATATATATATATAAATTTAGACACAATGAGAGAGTGATTGATGGTGTTGGAGCTGATGGTCCAGTGTGTTCTGGTCTCGCTTCTGTCATCACCGTGTGTGGAAGGATTGGAACAATATCTGACTCTGAACATTGTACCTTGGTCTGTAACATGTGCTATATAAATAAACATTACTACTACTACATGTTTAAAGCTCAGGTCTGTAACTTTAGTCTGAATAACACATGTTTAAAGCTCAGGTCTGTAACTTTAGTCTGAGTAACACATGTTTAAAGCTCAGGTCTGTAACTTTAGTCTGAATAACACATGTTTAAAGCTCAGGTCTGTAACTTTAGTCTGAATAACACATGTTTAAAGCTCAGGTCTGTAACTTTAGTCTGAATAACACATGTTTAAAGCTCAGGTCTGTAACTTTAGTCTGAATAACACATGTTTAAAGCTCAGGTCTGTAACTTTAGTCTGAATAACACATGTTTAAAGCTCAGGTCTGTAACTTTAGTCTGAATAACACATGTTTAAAGCTCAGGTCTGTAACTTTAGTCTGAATAACACATGTTTAAAGCTCAGGTCTGTAACTTTAGTCTGAATAACACATGTTTAAAGCTCAGGTCTGTAACTTTAGTCTAAATAACACATGTTTAAAGCTCAGGTCTGTAACTTTAGTCTGAATAACACATGTTTAAAGCTCAGGTCTGTAACTTTAGTCTGAATAACACATGTTTAAAGCTCAGGTCTGTAACTTTAGTCTGAATAACACATGTTTAAAGCTCAGGTCTGTAACTTTAGTCTGAATAACACATGTTTAAAGCTCAGGTCTGTAACTTTAGTCTGACTAACACATGTTTAAAGCTCAGGTCTGTTGTGTCTGATGTGTTCATGTTTAATGGAGTATGAGATGACAAAAATGAGCGACAAAACAAAATTTTATTTTTATTATTATATTTCAGACAGAGTCGTGATTATAATAAAACACCTCTTTCCACACGATTATATGAATGTATTCATGAGTCCTGGTCTCTGTCCTGGTTCCTTTCCTGGCCTCTGTCCTGGTTTCTTTCCTGGCCTCTGTCCTGGTCCCAGTCCTGGCCTCTGTCCTGGTATTGGTCCTGGTCCCAGTCCCGGTCCCAGTCCCGGTCCCAGTCCCGGTCCCAGTCCCGGTCGCAGTCCCGGTCGCAGTCCCGGTCGCAGTCCCGGTCGCAGTCCCGGTCCCAGTCCTGGTCGCAGTCCCGGTCCCAGTCCTGGTCGCAGTCCCGGTCCCAGTCCCGGTCTAACAGTTGACAGTTACCATAGTTACTTCCCTCCACCACAATGTGAAACTAAAATCAAAATAATGTGTATTATTCTTCCGCACAGGTGCATGATGGGAGGTGGAGTCTCCGCACAGGTGCATGATGGGAGGTGGAGTCTCCGCACAGGTGCATGATGGGAGGTGGAGTCCTCACATGTTGGGGTCTGAAAAACAAACATATTTGTTATGAGTTTTATAAAGTTACACACACACACACATACACAGAGACACACACACACACACACACACACACACACATACACAGACACACACACAAATACACAGACACACACACACACGCCCACACACAGACACACACACACACACACATTCACAGACACACACACAGAGACACACACACACACACACACACACATACACAGACACACACACACACATACACAGAGACACACACACACACACACACACACACACACACATACACAGACACACACACACACACACACACACACACACACACACGCACACACACAGACACACGCACACACACAGAGACACACACACACACGCACACACACACACACACAGACACACGCACACAGACACACACACAGACACACACACACACACAGATACACACACACGCACACATGCACACACACGCACACACACAGACACACACACACACTTACCCCACACCACCTCCGTCAACTTCCCTCCGTGCTCCACTCTGCAGGTGTACTGCTTTCCCTCCTGTGGCCTGAAGGGGGCGCTCCTGGTCAGGTGGAAGTGCCAGTCCTGCCCGAAGGCCAGGTCGGTCTGCACAGAGTCCGGGAGCAGGCCGTCCTCCCCCCGCAGGCTGAGGCTGATGTCCGGGGGGTGGAAGTGGCTCACGCGGCAGATCAGAGTGTTGTCCTCACCCATCTGCCCCGGCTCCCGGCTGTACAGCTGCACCTTAGGAGGGCCTGCAGGGGGACCAGAAGTCAACCAGAGACCAGAAGTCAACCAGAGACCAGGGACCAGAGAGACCAGAAGTCAACCAGAGACCAGAAATCAACCAGAGACCAGAAGTCAACCAGAGACCAGAGACCAGGGACCATGGACCAGAAGTCAACCAGAGACCAGAAGTCAACCAGAGATCAGAAGTCAGAAGTCAACCAGAGACCAGAAGTCAACCAGAGACCAGAAGTCAACCAGAGACCAGAAGTCAACCAGAGACTAGGGACCAGAAGTCAACCAGAGACCAGAAGTCAACCAGAGACCAGGGACCATGGACCAGAAGTCAACCAGAGACCAGAAGTCAACCAGAGATCAGAAGTCAACCAGAGACCAGAAGTCAACCAGAGAACAGAAGTCAACCAGAGACCAGGGACCAGAAGTCAACCAGAGACCAGAAGTCAACCAGAGACCAGGGACCATGGACCAGAAGTCAACCAGAGACCAGAAGTCAACCAGAGAACAGAAGTCAACCAGAGACCAGGGACCAGAAGTCAACCAGAGACCAGAAGTCAACCAGAGACCAGAAGTCAACCAGAGATCAGAAGTCAACCAGAGACCAGAAATCAACCAGGGACCAGGGACCAGGGACCAGAGAGACCAGAAAGACCAGAGAGACCAGGGACCAGAGAAACCAGAAAGACCAGAGAGACCAGGGATCAGAGAGACTAGAGAGACCAGAAAGACCAAGGACCAGGGATCAGAGAGAGACCAGAGACCAGGGCCCAAAGAGACCAGGGACCAGAAGTGAACCAGAAACCAGAGAGTCTGACTTTTTCGACAAACAGAATGTGTGATTCATGAGACTTAAGTTCGGTACCTCAGGTTCTGACCCAGTTTAATATTGATTTTTCACAAAACTTTGGGCTGAATCTTAAGTGCGTCATCGTCACTTTACTTTCACTTTTGATCAAACGCGCATGCGTAGACCGAGACTTCTGTTCTGTTCCTTTACATTTTATTTTACAAAACTTTCTGTGATAAAACAAACACACACACACACCCACACACAGACACAGACACACACACACACAGGTACACACACAGATACACACCCACACCCACACAAACACTATAATAATGTAATAATATAATAAAAATAAGTTTCCAAACTCACGTCGTGTGTACGCAGCGTCCAGAGCGACGCACAGAGCGGCCAGAGTCACGCAGCTCAGAAGGTTCATGTCGGAGTCTCTCTCTGGAGGAGCAGTGTGTGCGGAGCGGACGTTGTCAAATTGGTGTGTGAAGAGCCAACGAGAGAAGCAGGAGGAGCAGGAGGAATGGGAGGAGCGGGAGGAGCAGGAGGAGCAGTATTCCGCTTTTTCAGCCAATCAGAAGCGCGTCCGTGAGTTACCAGGTAGAGCTGCCGCGGGAGCCTCGCGCTGTGGAAAGTCCCTTTGAAGTTTCGGTTTTGAAAAAAGGGAACGGCACCTGCGGCCGGGGACGGGTTCAGCGGCAGAGAGCAGCACATTTACACATACATGAAAGTTTATTTGTAGAGCACAGTTCGGACACACAAGATAAAGACATTAAAGACTTTCATTCAAGAAAAGACCTGGATCTCAACATTCAGGAAGACTGTTCCAGATGTTAGCATAATGCTGCCTCCTGATGTTTAGTCCTGACTCTGGTACCATCAGGAGGCCAGTCCCTGTGCTCCTCAGAGTCCACAGCAGGAGCCCAGTCCCTGTGCTCCTCAGAGTCCCAGCAGGAGGCCAGTCCCTGTGCTCCTCAGAGTCACAGCAGGAGGCCAGTCCCTGTGCTCCTCAGAGTCCCAGCAGGAGGCCAGTCCCTGTGCTCCTCAGAGTCCCAGCAGGAGGCCAGTCCTGCTCCTCAGAGTCCCAGCAGGAGGCCAGTCCCTGTGCTCCTCAGAGTCCCAGCAGGAATCCAGTCCCTGTGCTCCTCAGAGTCCCAGCAGGAGTCCAGTCCCTGTGCTCCTCAGAGTCCACAGCAGGAGTCCAGTCCCTGTGCTTCTCAGAGTCCACAGCAGGAGGCCAGTCCCTGTGCTCCTCAGAGTCCACAGCAGGAGGCCAGTCCCTGTGCTCCTCAGAGTCCCAGCAGGAGTCTAGTCCCTGTGCTCCTCAGAGTCCCAGCAGGAGTCCAGGCCCTGTGCTCCTCAGAGTCCCAGCAGGAGTCCAGTCCCTGTGCTCCTCAGAGTCCACAGCAGGAGTCCAGTCCCTGTGCTCCTCAGAGTCCACAGCAGGAGGCCAGTCCCTGTGCTCCTCAGAGTCCACAGCAGGAGGCCAGTCCCTGTGCTCCTCAGAGTCCCAGCAGGAGTCTAGTCCCTGTGCTCCTCAGAGTCCCAGCAGGAGTCCAGTCCCTGTGCTCCTCAGAGTCCCAGCAGGAGGCCAGTCCCTGTGCTCCTCAGAGTCCCAGCAGGAGGCCAGTCCCTGTGCTCCTCAGAGTCCCAGCAGGAGGCCAGTCCCTGTGCTCCTCAGAGTCCCAGCAGGAGGCCAGTCCCTGTGCTCCTCAGAGTCCCAGCAGGAGGCCAGTCCCTGTGCTCCTCAGAGTCCCAGCAGGAGTCCAGTCCCTGTGCTCCTCAGAGTCCCAGCAGGAGTCCAGTCCCTGTGCTCCTCAGAGTCCCAGCAGGAGTCCAGTCCCTGTGCTCCTCAGAGTCCCAGCAGGAGTCCAGTCCCTGTGCTCCTCAGAGTCCCAGCAGGAGGCCAGTCCCTGGGCATTAGATACTGTTACTAGATACTAACGGGCGATGTCAGCTCTCTGCCCTAACAACATGGGGGTTCCTCAAGGGTCAGTACTGGGGCCATTGTTGTTCACTATGTACATCAACGACCTCCCTAATAGTTGCCAACTGCCAGCTGTATGCTGATGATACAGTAATACATCTGTCTGCTAAACCCCAGCTCTGGCAGCGCAGCAGTTGACACTTGCCCTCGGAAACATCTCCAAATGGCTCGAGTTGTCTCACTTAACCCTAAACGTAAATAAAACTGTTGCTGTGTGTTTTTCAATTAAAACAAAACCGTCTGACAGCCCCTTTGAAGTAAAAATAAACAACAAAATTATTCAGGAAGTAAAAGAGACCAAATATCTTGGAATTATTCTTGACAACAACCTCAAATTTCAAAGTCAAGTCAAAAATGTCTGTAAAAAGGTCAAATCCAACTTGAATTGTTTTCGATTGTCCCATCAGGCCGCCCTGTTATACATGCCCTGTTATACATGCCCTGTTATACATGCCCTGTTATACATGCCCTGTTATACATGCCCTGTTATACAAGCCGGTGGTTTCATTGTACAAGCTGACACTCAAGGTCCATCCATTTTCTACCCTTTAATCCATTTCTGGGTCAGGGGGGTGGCAGTCAGAGATGCCACCCAAGTCTCATAGCACCAGCCCCTCACTGACCCTCTGCAGGTGGTGAGTCCACAGGAGGACGGCTGCTCTGACTGTGAGCATAGCCTTGATCTTTCAGTGGGAGCTGAAAGATCAAGGTCAAACACCTTGAGCTGACACTCAAGGTGTTTGACCAAAAACCTATGAGATGGCATCACTGTGATGCCATCAGAAACATTCAGAAACATAATCTTTTTACTTTTGAACATTTTATAAATGTTAGTACTTTGAAACTGTTTTTTAAATGCTTGAAGAGTCATGTGTCGCCGCTGTTTACAGCTCTCATTGTTCGACGTCAGGGCATGTTTGTAGAGAAGTTCTGGTTCACACTCCAGTACAGTAGGTGGCGGAAATGCACCTTTAAAGTTAAGTGCCACTCGCCAATAATACTGCAACAAGAAGAAGAACCCTTCGTGTCACTCCCGGATTTGTCCCGGAAGTTCAGTTTGATCCAATGATCATACGCAGCAATAGATTACCTCACGGAATCTGGACGGAAGTAAGTATAACAAACTACCTATTCATGCCTAAACTTAACCTTCTTACTCAGACGCCTAAACTTAAGCAGTCTCCACTAAAGGACATATTAAACTTTTTGACATGCGCAAACTGAACTTCCGGACGAATCCGGGAGTGACACTTCGTCCAACGTGATCACGTGCTCTCTAAAATGGAAGGTCTATCTAGACTAATTTATCCGGCATACACTTTCAGAATCAGAATCAGAATCATTTTTATTGTCACGTAAGTAACAGGAGGTCACAGACTTGGAAATTGCTTTGGCTCAGTGCAACAGTCAAAAAGAGATAATAAAAATAAGAATAAACAAAGTTAAATAAAGTTACAGTTACAGTTACTATTTACAATATCCAAGTGCACACGGTGCACACAATGTAAGGTGACAGCAGTACAGTGAAGTAAAGTGACGTATGATGGGCAGTAAAGTGACTTTATAAAGGGCGGGGGGACAGGTTAAGAAGTGTTCAAGAGTCCAACAGCAGAGGGGAAGAAACTGTTCTTGTGGCGGGAGGTTCTAGTCCTGATGGACCGCAGTCTCCTGCCTGAGGGGAGTGGTTGGAATAGGTTGGAATAGTCCATGTGCAGGTGAGAGGGGAGTGGTTGGAATAGTCCATGTGCAGGTGAGAGGGGAGTGGTTGGAATAGTCCATGTGCAGGTGAGAGGGGTCGGCTGTGATACGACCAGCCCGGCCTCGAGCTCGGGCGACGTACAGGTCCTGCAGCGATGGAAGGCTGCGGCCGATCACTTCCTCTGCAGAGCGCACAATGCACTGTAGTCTCTGTTTGTCCCTGACTGTGGCTCCAGCGAACCACACGGTGATGGAGGAGGTGATGGAGGAGGTGATGGAGGAGGTGATGGAGGAGGTGATGGAGGAGGTGAAGGAGGTGATGGAGGAGGTGATGGAGGAGGTGATGGAGGAGGTGAAGGAGGAGGTGATGGAGGAGGTGATAAGGAGGTGATGGAGGAGATGATGGAGGAGGTGATGGAGGAGGTGATGGAGGAGGTGATGGAGGAGATGGAGGAGGTGATGGAGGAGATGGAGGAGGTGATGGAGGAGGTGATGGAGCAGGTGATGGAGGAGGTGATGGAGGAGGAGGTGATGGAGGAGGTGATGGAGGAGGTGACGGAGGAGGTGATGGAGGAGGTGATGGAGGAGGTGATGGAGGAGGTGATGAGGAGGTGATGAAGGAGGTGATGGAGGAGGTGATGGTGGAGGTGATGGAGGAGGTGATGGAGGAGGTGATGAGGAGGTGATGGAGCAGGTGATGGTGGAGGTGATGGAGGAGGTGATGGAGGAGGTGATGGAGGAGGTGATGGAGCAGGTGATGGAGGAGGTGATGGAGGAGGTGATGGAGGAGGTGATGGAGGAGCTGATGGAGGAGGTGATGGAGGAGATGATGGAGGAGGTGATGGAGGAGGTGATGGAGCAGGTGATGGAGGAGGTGATGGAGGAGGTGATGAGGAGGTGATGGAGGAGGTGATGGAGCAGGTGATGGAGGAGGTGATGGAGGAGGTGATGGAGGAGCTGATGGAGGAGGTGATGGAGGAGGTGGTGGAGGAGGTGAGGAGGAGGTGATGGAGGAGGTGATGGAGGAGGTGAGGATGGACTCGATGATGGCCGTGTAGAACTGCAGCTTGGCTTTCCTGAGCTGCCGCAGGAAGTACATCCTCTGCTGGGCCTTCTTGATGAGGAGCTGATGGTCGCTCCCACTTGAGGTCCTGGGTGATGGTGGTGCCCAGGAAACGGAAGGACTCCACAGAGGTGATGGGGGAGTCCATCACGGAGTCCATCTATTATTCCTGAAGTCCACAATAATAATAATAATAATGCATCGGTTTTATATAGCGCTTTTTTGGACACTCAAAGACGCTTCACATGTGTCATTATTCATTCACTCCATATACGGTGGTGATAAACTACTACTGTAGCCACAGCTGCCCTGGGGCAGACTGACAGAAGCGAGGCAACCAGTCTGTGCCATCGGCCCCTCCCACCACCACCAACCATTCACACACACACCAGACTCATTCTAGGCAATGGGGGTTAGTGTCTTGCCTAAGGACACAACAGCAGTTTGGCACTTTACAGCCGCCCCACTGTGGCTGGTGTTCCCAGAGGTTAAGTGTCTTGCCAAGGACACAACGACAGTGGGAGTCAATGGTGAAAGTCTTGAGCGGGGCTTGAACCCACGACCTTCTGGCTAAAAGGCCAACGCTCTACCAACTGAGCTACTGCCGCCCTGTACAATCATCTCCACTGTCTTCTGGGCGTTCAGCTCCAGGTTGTTACCACTGCACCAGGACACCAGCCGGTCCACCTCCCTCCTGTAGGAGACACCAGGACACCAGCCGGTCCACCTCCCTCCTGTAGGAGACACCAGGACACCAGCCGGTCCACCTCCCTCCTGTAGGAGACACCAGGACACCAGCCGGTCCACCTCCCTCCTGTAGGAGACACCAGGACACCAGCCGGTCCACCTCCCTCCTGTAGGAGACACCAGGACACCAGCCGGTCCACCTCCCTCCTGTAGGAGACACCAGGACACCAGCCGGTCCACCTCCTCCTGTAGGAGACACCAGGACACCAGCCGGTCCACCTCCCTCCTGTAGGAGACACCAGGACACCAGCCGGTCCACCTCCCTCCTGTAGGAGACACCAGGACACCAGCCGGTCCACCTCCCTCCTGTAGGAGACACCAGGACACCAGCCGGTCCACCTCCCTTCTGTAGGAGACACCAGGACACCAGCCGGTCCACCTCCCTCCTGTAGGAGACACCAAGACACCAGCCGGTCCACCTCCCTCCTGTAGGAGACACCAGGACACCAGCCGGTCCACCTCCCTCCTGTAGGAGACACCAGGACACCAGCCGGTCCACCTCCCTCCTGTAGGAGACACCAGGACACCAGCCGGTCCACCTCCCTCCTGTAGGCCGACTCATCGTTGTTGGAGATGAGTCCAATGAGGGTGGTGTCGTCCGCGAACTTGATCAGCTTCACAGAGTCGTGGCTGGAGGTGCAGTGGTTGGTGTACAGGGAGAAGAGCAGGGGAGAAAGAACACAGCCCTGTGGGGCTCCTGTATTTATAATCCGAGAGTCCGAGACATTCTTCCCCAGACGCACTCGCTGCTTCCTGTCCGTCAGGAAGTCAGTGATCCACCTGCAGGTGGAATCGGGCACGTTGAGCTGGGAGAGCTTGTCCTGGAGCAGGGATGGCAGGATTGTGTTGAAGGCAGAGCTGAAGTCCACGAACAGGACCCTGGCGTAGGTCCCCGGGGAGTCCAGGTGCTGTAGGATGTGGTGGAGGGCCAGGTTAATGGCGTCGTCTACAGATCTGTTGGCTCTGTAGGCGAACTGCAGGGGGTCCAGGAGGGGGGAGGTGAACTGCAGGGGGTCCAGGAGGGGGGGGTGAACTGCAGGGGGTCCAGGAGGGGGGAGGTGAACTGCAGGGGGTCCAGGAGGGGGGAGGTGAACTGCAGGGGGTCCAGGAGGGGGGAGGTGAGGGACTTGAGATGGGAGAGAACCAGGCGTTCAAATGACTTCATGACGACAGACGTAAGTGCTACAGGTCTGTAGTCATTGAGTCCTGTGATCCTGGGCTTCTTCGGGACGGGGACAATGATGGAGGATTTGAATGTGAACTCAAAAATGATTAAGCAAATTAATTTCAATTTTCTCTGGAAAAATAAACATCCTTATATCAGGAAAACGATACTGTAAAATCTATAGAGGGAGGAATGCTTTTGGGTTTGATCCCATGAATGGTGCCTTAAAACTTCGATGGTTACAACATTTCATTACAAATCTTAATAGTTTCTGGTTCAGTCTCAAAAATATTCTCGAACTTCGGTGGAATTGAATTTCTTATTCAATGTGACTTTGAAATATCGAACTTACTGACTAAATTATCCAAATGTCAAGAGTCCTCCAGTATTGGACATTTATATATAGTCACAATGTTTCGCCACATAATACACCTTTATGGAATAATAGATATATTCTGATCATCAGCACTGGCGTGAAAAGGGTTTATGGTCAGTTTTACACTTAATGGATGATGCAGGTTTATTGACTTCACCCAGAAATACATGTGATTAGCTCAAGGCAGCCATTTTTACGAGTGATCAAGGCTATTCCACAAGCTCTTGTTTGTGCGATTAAGGGATCTCTAATGTATACACACTTGGCTCCAAAAATATATCCATTACTCGTCAAAAAATTTAATAACAAATTTCTAAGAGCAGCATTATCCAATAAATACTTCCCTTTGCCGTTAAGAAGACAATATATTATACAGGATCTCCCTAAACACAATGTTAAGTGTTTCAGATGCAGCTACATGAAATTCCCTGTCCAACCTAAAGCTAAAAAAGCTCGATTTAAATGATTGAACAGTGTATACCTTTCTTACATTCCAAATTCAATATTGACAATAATGTGTGTGTTTTTTGCGATACCAATATTTTCACATGTGTACACTCAAAAATATTTTGGGATAGTTTCTGTGCTTGGTCTAGTGTAATACTTTAGGTATTATGGACTTTAATTATCATGACATCAAGTTTGGAGTCTTACTGGAGGACAAAAACAAAGAATTTACAATTAACGACTGTATTCTCAGGCTGTATTTTTCATTCACAAATGTAAATTTAGTCATTCCAAACCCTTGTTTAGGATATTTCTGAGCGGATTGTCAATCTTTAGGGACTCTTTGAGGCTGTGCATGAAAATATTGTGAATTTACCTCTGACCCTTGTAACTCAGTAATGTAGCTTTCTATGTTCTTGTTCTGTTCTTTTGGTTGTTTTTATGACACGAAACTGAAATTGTACCAAATATGTAAACCTGTTTGACTTGTTCAATAAAAAAAAAACCGTGGTCACGTCACGTGACCGGAAGCACGCGCCGTGACGCAGGAAACCCAGAAGCAGTTTGTTTTGCTGTTTTTCTCTCCGTCGTTTCGGTGAATAAACAGTTTCCACGTTCGTCATGAGCCTCACCACGACCACCGACAAATACCCCCGCGGATCCATAGAAGATGACTTCAACTACGGGACTAACGTGTCCACGGCCTCGGTCCAGGTCCGGATGGGTGAGTACCGAGCACCGGGGTCCGACCGGGGTCCGACCGGGGTCTGAAGGCTTCTACCGCGGGTCACTGATGCATGAAGAGAGACCAGAGAGAGAGACCAGAGAGAGAGACCAGAGAGAGACCAGAGAGAGAGACCAGAGAGAGAGACCAGAGAGAGACCAGAGAGAGACCAGAGAGAGACCAGAGAGAGAGACCAGAGAGAGACCAGAGAGAGAGACCAGAGAGAGACCAGAGAGAGACCAGAGAGAGACCAGAGAGAGAGACCAGAGAGAGAGACCAGAGAGAGACCAGAGAGAGAGACCAGAGAGAGACCAGAGAGAGAGACCAGAGAGAGAGACCAGAGAGAGAGACCAGAGAGAGAGACCAGAGAGAGAGACCAGAGAGAGACCAGAGAGAGAGACCAGAGAGAGACCAGAGAGAGAGACCAGAGAGAGAGACCAGAGAGAGAGACCAGAGAGAGACCAGAGAGAGACCAGAGAGAGAGACCAGAGAGAGACCAGAGAGAGAGACCAGAGAGAGACCAGAGAGAGAGACCAGAGAGAGAGACCAGAGAGAGAGACCAGAGAGAGAGACCAGAGAGAGAGACCAGAGAGAGAGACCAGAGAGAGAGACCAGAGAGAGACCAGAGAGAGAGACCAGAGAGAGACCAGAGAGAGAGACCAGAGAGAGAGACCAGAGAGAGAGACCAGAGAGAGACCAGAGAGAGAGACCAGAGAGAGAGACCAGAGAGAGAGACCAGAGAGAGAGACCAGAGAGAGACCAGAGAGAGAGACCAGAGAGAGAGACCAGAGAGAGAGACCCAGAGAGAGAGACCAGAGAGAGAGACCAGAGAGAGAGACCAGAGAGAGAGACCAGAGAGAGAGACCAGAGAGAGAGACCAGAGAGAGAGACCAGAGAGAGACCAGAGAGAGACCAGAGAGAGACCAGAGAGAGAGACCAGAGAGAGAGACCAGAGAGAGAGACCAGAGAGAGACCAGAGAGAGACCAGAGAGAGAGACCAGAGAGAGAGACCAGAGAGAGAGACCAGAGAGAGAGACCAGAGAGAGAGACCAGAGAGAGACCAGAGAGAGAGACCAGAGAGAGAGACCAGAGAGAGAGACCAGAGAGAGAGACCAGAGAGAGAGACCAGAGAGAGAGACCAGAGAGGGACCAGAGAGAGAGACCAGAGAGAGAGACCAGAGAGAGACCAGAGAGAGAGACCAGAGAGAGACCCAGAGAGAGAGACCAGAGAGAGACCAGAGAGAGAGACCAGAGAGAGAGACCAGAGAGAGAGACCAGAGAGAGACCAGAGAGAGAGACCAGAGAGAGAGACCAGAGAGAGACCAGAGAGAGAGACCAGAGAGAGACCAGAGAGAGAGACCAGAGAGAGAGACCAGAGAGAGAGACCAGAGAGAGAGACCAGAGAGAGAGACCAGAGAGAGAGACCAGAGAGAGAGACCAGAGAGAGAGACCAGAGAGAGAGACCAGAGAGAGAGACCAGAGAGAGACCAGAGAGAGACCAGAGAGAGACCAGAGAGAGAGACCAGAGAGAGAGACCAGAGAGAGAGACCAGAGAGAGAGACCAGAGAGAGACCAGAGAGAGACCAGAGAGAGAGACCAGAGAGAGAGACCAGAGAGAGAGACCAGAGAGAGAGACCAGAGAGAGAGACCAGAGAGAGAGACCAGAGAGAGACCAGAGAGAGAGACCAGAGAGAGAGACCAGAGAGAGAGACCAGAGAGAGAGACCAGAGAGAGAGACCAGAGAGAGACCAGAGAGAGAGAGACCAGAGAGAGAGACCAGAGAGAGAGACCAGAGAGAGAGACCAGAGAGAGAGACCAGAGAGACCAGAGAGAGAGACCAGAGAGAGAGACCAGAGAGAGAGACCAGAGAGAGAGACCAGAGAGAGAGACCAGAGAGAGAGACCAGAGAGAGAGACCAGAGAGAGAGACCAGAGAGAGAGAGACCAGAGAGAGAGAGACCAGAGAGAGAGAGACCAGCATGGTTTCCTATGAGACTTGTTTGTGTGTTCCAGACTTCCTGCGTAAAGTGTACAGCCTCCTGAGTTTGCAGCTGCTCCTGACCACAGCCACATCTGCCCTGTTCCTGCTCTGTGCCCCACTGAAGGAGTATGTACACAACAGGTGAGAGACGCACACACACACACATACACATATACACACGCACCTCTATTTGCTCACTTTCCTCGTCTCTAGTCTCTCTGGTCTCCCTCTGGTCTCTCTCTGGTCTCTTCCTGGTGTCTCTCTGGTCTCTCTCTATGGTCTCTCTCTGGTGTCTATGGTCTCTCTCTGGTCTCTTCCTGGTCTCTCTCTGGTGTCTATGGTCTCTCTCTGGTCTCTTCCTGGTCTCTCTCTGGTGTCTATGGTCTCTCTCTGGTCTCTCTCTGGTCTCTCTCTGGTGTCTATGGTCTCTCTCTGGTCTCTCTCTGGTCTCTCTCTGGTCTCTCTCTGGTCTCTCTCTGTGTGTTATGTTTAGGGACCAATGTGTAAACTTGTCTTTATGTTTCAGTCCCGCTGTGGTCCTGGTCTCGGCTCTGGGCTCGCTGGTCCTGCTCCTGGTTCTGTTCATCTACCGGCACCAGCACCCAGTGAACCTGTACCTGCTGCTGACGTTTGTAAGACCAGAGCGTGTGTTTGATGGTTCTGAGCACCAGATGTGACAGATGTGTGTTTTTCAGACGCTGCTGGAAGCTGTCTCTGTGGCCACGACTGGTGAGTGTGTCTCAGAAGAAGAGAGCGGAGCAACGCAAAGTGCACTCTCTCTGGTCTCTCTCTCTGGTCTCTCTCTCTGGTCTCTCTCTGGTCTCTCTCGCTGGTCTCTCTCTGGTCTCTCTCTGGTCTCTCTCTGGTCTCTCTCTCTGGTCTCTCTCTCTGGTCTCTCTCTCTGGACTCTCTCTCGGGTCTCTTCCTGGTCTCTCTCTCTGGTCTCTCTCTCTGGTCTCTCTCCCTGGTCTCTCCCTGGTCTCTCCCTGGTCTCTCTCTGGTCTCTCTCTGGTCTCTCTCTGGTCTCTCTCTGGTCTCTCCCTGGTCTCTCTGGTCGGTCTCTGGTCTCTCCCTGGTCTCTCTGGTCGGTCTCTGGTCTCTCCCTGGTCTCTCTGGTCGGTCTCTGGTCTCTCCTGGTCTCATGCCTCGTCTCATGCCTCATGTTGTGTTGCAGTGACCTTCTATGATTACTCCACGGTGCTGCAGGCGCTGGTTCTGACCTGTGCCGTGTTCGCTGGACTCACCGCCTTCACCTTTCAGTCCAAGAGGGACTTCAGCAAACTGGGCGCAGGGTAGGTGCAGTACCAGGAGCATCCACTGGGCGCAGGGTAGGTGCAGTACCAGGAGCATCCACTGGGGGCAGGGTAGGTGCAGTACCAGGAGCATCCACTGGGGGCAGGGAAGGTGCAGTACCAGCAGCATCCACTGGGGGCAGGGTAGGTGCAGTCCCAGCAGCATCCACTGGGGGCAGGGTAGGTGCAGTACCAGGGCTGCCCATAGGGGGAGCTGCCACACACTGTACAGACCTGTTCATGTGACATTACATAAAACATAGTGTCACACTGTGGTGGATCAGCTGAAACCTCTCTCTGGTGTCTCTCTGGTCTCTCTCTCTGGTCTCTCTCTGGTCTCTCTCTGGTCTCTCTCTGGTGTCTCTCTCTGGTCTCTCTCTGGTGTCTCTCTCTGGTCTCTCTCTCTGGTCTCACTCTGGTCTCTCTCTGGTCTCTCTCTGGTGTCTCTCTCTGGTGTCTCTCTGGTCTCTCTCTGGTCTCTCTCTCTGGTCTCTCTCTGGTCTCTCTCTCTGGTCTCTCTCTCTGGTCTCACTCTGGTCTCTCTCTGGTCTCTCTCTGGTGTCTCTCTCTGGTGTCTCTCTGGTGTCTCTCTGGTCTCTCTCTGGTGTCTCTCTCTGGTGTCTCTCTGGTCTCTCTCTGGTGTCTCTCTCTGGTCTCTCTCTGGTCTCACTCTGGTCTCTAACAGGCTCTTGTTTCCACAGACTCTTCGCTGGCCTCCTCATCCTCCTCATCGCAGGCTTCTCCAGAGTGAGTGTTCTTCAGTGTTCTCCTCTCCTCCTCTCTGACTCCTCCTCAGCTGTGGTTCAGACCTCCTCTCCTCTCTGACTCCTCCTCAGCTGTGGTTCAGACCTCCTCTCCTCCTCTCTGACTCCTCCTCAGCTGTGGTTCAGACCTCCTCTCCTCCTCTCTGACTCCTCCTCAGCTGTGGTTCAGACCTCCTCTCCTCCTCTCTGACTCCTCCTCAGCTGTGGTTCAGACCTCCTCTCCTCCTCTCTGACTCCTCAGCTGTGGTTCAGACCTCCTCTCCTCTCTGACTCCTCCTCAGCTGTGGTTCAGACCTCCTCTCCTCCTCTCTGACTCCTCCTCAGCTGTGGTTCAGACCTCCTCTCCTCCTCTCTGACTCGTCAGCTGTGGTTCAGACCTCCTCTCCTCCTCTCTGACTCCTCCTCAGCTGTGGTTCAGACCTCCTCTCCTCCTCTCTGACTCCTCAGCTGTGGTTCAGACCTCCTCTCCTCTCTGACTCCTCCTCAGCTGTGGTTCAGACCTCCTCTCCTCCTCTCTGACTCCTCCTCAGCTGTGGTTCAGACCTCCTCTCCTCCTTTCTGACTCCTCAGCTGTGGTTCAGACCTCCTCTCCTCCTCAGCTGTGGTTCCAGTGGGACTCCTCAGACCTCCTCTTCTCCTCACTAACTCCTCCTCTCTCCTCCTCAGCTGTGGTTCCAGTGGGACTCCTCAGACCTCCTCTTCTCCTCCTTGGGAGCCTTCCTGTTCTGTGGCTTCATAGTCTTCGACACCTTCTCTCTGATGAAGACGCTGTCTCCAGAGGAGCACGTTTTAGCCTCAATCAACCTGTACCTGGACCTCCTCAACCTCTTCATGCACCTCCTCCGCCTCCTGGAGGCGCTCAAGAGGCACTGAGAGAGCTCCTCCTCCACAGACGGACGGACAGACGGATGGACGTTGTTCAAGCTGTTTCTTAATCAAATAAATATTTAAGTAATTATATTATAGACTCCTCCCCCAGTTCTCATAAGTCTCCATACCCTCTGAGACCAGAGAGAGAGAGACCAGAGAGAGAGAGACCAGAGAGAGAGAGACCAGAGAGAGAGAGACCAGAGAGAGAGAGACCAGAGTGAGAGAGACCTCTGTCAGCAGCTTCTCTCCTGTTGGGTTCGTCAGTTCATTCCAGTCTCTTTGATGTTAATAATAAGTTTATTTGTGAAAAACGTCTTTGTTTTTAATGATGATTAAAATGTGGAACAAAGAAACTGTGTCTGTAATACACACTCTCACCACCAGGGGTAGGACCCAGGACTGAGGCTGTAGACCCAGGACTGAGGCTGTAGACCCAGGACTGAGGCTGTAGACCCAGGACTGAAACTGTAGACCCAGGACTGAGGCTGTAGACCCAGGACTGAGGCTGTAGACTTAGGACTGAGGCTGTAGACCCAGGACTGAGGCTGTAGACCCAGGACTGAGGCTGTAGACCCAGGACCGAGGCTGTAGACCCAGGACCGAGGCTGTAGACCCAGGACCGAGGCTGTAGACCCAGGACCGAGGCTGTAGACCCAGGACCGAGGCTGTAGACCCAGGACTGAGGCTGTAGATCCAGGACCGAGGCTGTAGACCCAGGACCGAGGCTGTAGACCCAGGACCGAGGCTGTAGACCCAGGACTGAGGCTGTAGACTCAGGACTGAGGCTGTAGACCCAGGACTGAGGCTGTAGACCCAGGATTAGGACTGAGGCTGTAGACCCAGGACCGAGGCTGTAGACCCAGGATCAGGACCGAGGCTGTAGACCCAGGATCAGGACTGAGGCTGTAGACCCAGGATCAGGACTGAGGCTGTAGACCCAGGACAGGAGACAGAGTAGACAGGAGAGGTTTTATTCTGTAAGTTCACATCTTGAGGAAACAGTCTCTGGTGTTGCTCCAAACTTGGATTCCCTGAAAAGAAGAATCAGGATGTTACCAGTGGAGGAGCTCAGAGGGCAGCCGCTGCTCCTCTCTCAGCACAAATATGGACTCTGAAACTGACAGTGACTGGAATAACGCCGTTACTTTTTTCAGTAACGAGTAATCTAATACTTTGACCTTTTTTTACTTCATGATGGGACTTGTGTTGTCATGAGAGAAGGATGGAACCTCTCAGCTGATTGGCTGAGCTCAACCTCTCAGCTGATTGGCTGAGCTCAACCACGGCTTGTAATGTCACCCAGTGAGGCCACAGGGGGGCGCAGGTGAGCGCAGAAGTCGGCTGCATCCGATTCCATCTGAAAGATCCTTTCTTGTTCTTCTGCTAAGGGCAGCTACAGGTTTGGCTAACATACATGTAACACATTTAAGATAATCTAACATACATGTAACACATTTAAGATCATTTAAAATACATGTAGCACATTTAAGATCATTTAAAATACATTTAGGATAATGTTATGCTTCCAATGACATATGAATGATAAGGAAGAGAGGTGACGTGTCAGAAGGTTGATATTAGAAATTGGAAGCACCCGAGGAAACAGGAGTTTCATTGGACTCACTTCCAATCGGAGGATTACATGTCTACACTCAAACTATTATCTGGACTTAAACATGAAACTGAACTGGTCTGAACTGAACTGAACTGTTCATTAAATCTAAAGTAAGGCCATAACACACTTTTAAATGTGCTTTTTCATAGTTTTGCGTTTTGTTTGAACAAACATGAAACATTCTGCTGTCGCCAAACAAACTATATATATATATATGATATATATATGTATATGATATACATATATATATGATATATATATATATATATATGTATATGATATATATGTATATGTATATGATGAAGAGTGAGGAAGACTCCAACAACAGTCTTTTCCAGATGGAAATATCACTGTTCAAACTCACTGAGGTTAAAGGTCAACATGTTCCAGAACGTGTGCCTGGTCCTCTCCAGGTCCTGGTCCTTCCTCAAGTGGAGGAGTTCAAGTATCTCTGGGTCTTGTTCACGAGTGAGGGAAGGATGGAGCGTGAGATTGACAGGCGGATCGGTGGTAAAGAGGGAGCAGCGTCTGCAGTCAGAGCTGTATCGGACCGTTGTGGTAAAGAGGGAGCAGCGTCTGCAGTCAGAGCTGTATCGGACCGTTGTGGTAAAGAGGGAGCAGCGTCTGCAGTCAGAGCTGTAGGGAGCTGAGCCGAAAGGCAAAGCTCTCAATTTACCGGTCAATCTTCGTTCCCTCCCTCACCTATGGTCATGAGCTTTGGGTAATGACCGAAAGAACGAGATCGCGGATACAAGCGGTCGAAATGAGCTTCCTCCGCAGAGTGGCTGCTCCCTTAGAGATAGGGTGAGGAGCTCGGAGTAGAGCCGCTGCTCCCTTAGAGATAGGGTGAGGAGCTCAGTCACACGGGAGGAGCTCGGAGTAGAGCCGCTGCTTCTCCACGTCGAGAGGAACCAGTTGAGGTGGCTCGGGCATCTGTTCCGGATGCCTCCTGGACGCCTCCCTGGGGAGGTGTTCCGGGCACGTCCCACCGGGAGGAGGCCCCGCGGAAGACCCAGGACACGCTGGAGGGACTATGTCTCTCAGCTGGCCTGGGAAGGCCTTGGGGTCCCCTCGGACGAGCTGGAGGAAGTGTGTGTGGATAGGGAAGTCTGGGCGTCTCTGCTTAGACTGCTGCCCCCGCGACCCGGCAACGGATAAAGCGGAAGAAGATGGATGGATGGATGGATGTTCCAGAACCAAACAAAAAAGTAACGCAATAGTTACTTTCACTGGTAACTAGTTACTTTTATAGTGGAGTAACTCAGTTACTTTTTGGGAGAAGTAACAAGTAACTATAACTAATTACTTTTTCAAAGTAACGTACCCAACACTGGAGACTGATAGATATTCACAGTCTCAGTCCTGGTCTCGGCCCTGGTCTCAGTCCTGGTCTCGGCCCTGGTCTCAGTCCTGGTCTCGGCCCTGGTCTCAGTCCTGATCTCGGCCCTTGTCTACAGTCTCAGTTCTGGGTCTTCAGTCCTGGTCTCAGTCCTGGTCTCGGCCCTGGTCTCGGCCCTGGTCTCGGTCCTGGTCTCGGCCCTGGTCTACAGTCTCAGTTCTGGGTCTTCAGTCCTGGTCTCGGTCCTGGTCTCGGTCCTGGTCTCAGTCCTGGTCTCAGTCCTGGTCTCAGTCCTGGTCCTGGTCTCGGTCCTGGTCTCGGTCCTGGTCTCGGTCTCACCTTCTTGCACATAGAGACCTGCATCAGAGCCAGACTCAGCAGCGCCTCCTTCAGGTCTTTGTCCTTCTGTTTTCTGAAGCGCTGGAGGTCCAGGAGGCCCCGCTGCACATGGTCCCTGAGGAGACACCAGGAGGAGACAGCAGGAGGACCATCAGGAGGAGACATTAGGAGGACCATCAGAGAGACCAGAAGGAGTCACCAGGAGGACCATCAGGAGGAGACAGCAGGAGGAGACACCAGGAGGACCATCAGGAGGAGACAGCAGGAGGAGACACCAGGAGGACCATCAGGAGGAGACACCAGGAGGACCACCAGGAGGAGACACCTGCACTCCAGGGTCTCCTCCTCCTCTCCTCCTCTCTCACCTGCACTCCAGGGTCTCCTCCTCCTCTCCTCCTCTCTCACCTGCACTCCAGGGTCTCCTCCTCCTCTCCTCCTCTCTCACCTGCACTCAAGGGTCTTCTCCTCCTCTCCTCCTCTCTCACCTGCACTCCAGGGTCTCCTCCTCCTCTCCTCCTCTCTCACCTGCACTCCAGGGTCTCCTCCTCCTCTCCTCCTCTCTCACCTGCACTCAAGGGTCTTCTCCCGGACCTCCTCCTCTCCCTCAGAGATCTGCTCCTCCAGGAGCTTCAGTCGGGCTCCTCTCTGCTCTGGGGCCTCTGCACCAAACAGTTTGTTGGTGACTCCTTTAAAGGAGAAGGTCCGCACCATCTGAGGAGCATGAAGGAGACACAAGAGAGGAGAAGAGAGGGAGGAGACAGGAGAGGAGGAAAGGATGAGACAGGAGAGAAGGAGAGGAGACAGAGAGAAGAGAGGGAGGAGACAGAGAGGAGGAAAGGAGGAGAGAAGGAGAGGAGACAGAGAGGAGAGAGGGAGGAGACAGGAGAGGAGGAGAGGAGACAGAGAGAAGAGAGGGAGGAGACAGAGAGGAGGAAAGGAGGAGAGAAGGAAAGGAGACAGAGAGGAGGTTAGAGTCAGTATCAGTGATGTGCAGTGAGGGCCTCATCTGGCTCCCACTGTGCTGCTCTATGTGGTAGGTACTCTGTGTAACTCTGTGTACTCTGTGGTACTCTGTGGTACTCTGCGTTACTCTGTGGTACTCTGCGTTACTCTGCGTTACTCTGTGTACTCTGTGGCACTGTTACTTTGTGGTACTCTGTGGTACTCTGTGTACTCTGTGGTACTCTGTGTACTCTGTGTACTCTGTGTACTCTGTGGTACTCTGTGTACTCTGTGGTACTCTGTGGTACTCTGCGTTACTCTGCGTTACTCTGTGTACTCTGTGGTACTCTGCGTTACTCTGTGTACTCTGTTGCACTGTTAGTTTGTGGTACTCTGTGTTACTCTGTGGTACTCTGTGGTACTCTGCGTTACTCTGTGGTACTCTGCGTTACTCTGTGTACTCTGTGGCACTGTTACTTTGTGGTACTCTGTGTTACTCTGTGGTACTCTGTGTACTCTGTGGTACTCTGTGTACTCTGTGGTACTCTGCGTTACTCTGTGTACTCTGTGGTACTCTGCGTTACTCTGTGTACTCTGTTGCACTGTTAGTTTGTGGTACTCTGTGTTACTCTGTGGTACTCTGTGTACTCTGTGGTACTCTGTGTTACTCTGTGGTACTCTGTGGTACTCTGCGTTACTCTGTGTACTCTGTGGTACTCTGTGTACACTGTTACTTTGTGGTACTCTGTGTTACTCTGTGGTACTCTGTGGTACTCTGTTACTTTGTGGTACTCTGTGTTACTCTGTGGTACTCTGTGTACTCTGTGGTACTCTGCGTTACTCTGTGTACTCTGTGGTACTCTGTGTACTCTGTTACTTTGTGGTACTCTGTGTTACTCTGTGTTACTCTGTGGTACTCTGTGTACTCTGTTACTTTGTGGTACTCTGTGGTACTCTGTGGTACTCTGCGGTACTCTGTGTACTCTGCGGTACTCTGTGGTACTCTGCGGTACTCTGTGGTACTCTGTGGTACTCTGCAGTACTCTCTGGTTCTCTGTGTTACTCTGTGTACTCTGTATACTCTGTGTACTCACTCCGCCGCTGAGCTCTTCTCTCTGGTGTCTTTTACAGATAAGGTCCTGTGTGACCAGCTCCAGCTCAAACTGAGTCAGTTCATGTTTCCTGCAAACAGCCCTGAAGCAAAGGTACAATACTGATCACAGGGACAGCCCTGAAGCAAAGGTTCGATACTGATCACAGGGACAGCCCAAAGGGTCAGATACTGACTCACAGGGATCTTTCGGACACATTTTTAATGAGAAAGCTGCTGGTACCTGAGAGCTTCTGCGTAGTACAGGTACTCCTTGATCTGGTCGGCGAAGTGCTCCTCCTCCTCCAGGATGTCGTCTATGGAAGCAGCAAACCTGGACCAGAGAGACCAGTCACCTCTGGTCTATCGCTGGTCTTTCTGGTCTCTCTCTGGTCTCTCCCTGGTCTCTCTAGTCTTTCTGGTCTCTCTGGTCCCTGGTCTCTCTGGTCCCTGGTCTGTCTGGTCCCTGGTCTGTCTGGTCCCTGGTCTCTCTGGTCCCTGGTCTCTCTGGTCCCTGGTCTCTCTGGTCTCTCTGGTCCCTGGTCTCTCTCTGGTCTCTCTGGTCCCTGGTCTCTCTGGTCCCTGGTCTCTCTGGTCTCTCTCTGGTCCCTGGTCTCTGGTCCCTGGTCTCTGGTCTCTCTGGTCCCTGGTCTCTGGTCCTCACGTGTCCATGTGATGTCCTGCGCTCTGCAGTCCGTCCCCGAGGTCCTGCTCCACAGAGCTCCACTCACTGAGGAAGAAGATCAGAGAAGATCAGACACTACTCTGTGTCCGGTCTTCCTCATGTTCCAGCTCCTTCCCTCTCTGTGATGCTACAGCAGACCACACCGTACAAGAACCCCCTTGTGTAGATCCTCCTCAGCAGGTGGTTCCTTGGTCTCCTGTTGATGAGGAGGTGGTTCCTTGGTCTCCTGTTGATGAGGAGGTGGTTCCTTGGTCTCCTGAGGAGGTGGTTCCTGGGTCTCCTGTAGATGAGGAGGTGGTTCCTTGGTCTCCTGTAGATGAGGAGGTGGTTCCTTGGTCTCCTGTTGATGAGGAGGTGGTTCCTTGGTCTCCTGTTGATGAGGAGGTGGTTCCTTGGTCTCCTGTTGATGAGGAGGTGGTTCCTTGGTCTCCTGTTGATGAGGAGGTGGTTCCTTGGTCTCCTGTAGATGAGGAGGTGGTTCCTTGGTCTCCTGTAGATGAGGAGGTGCTTCCTTGGTCTCCTGTAGAGGAGGAGGTGGTTCCTTGGTCTCCTGTTGATGAGGAGGTGGTTCCTTGGTGTCCTGTTGATGAGGAGGTGGTTCCTTGGTCTCCTGTTGAGGAGGAGGTGGTTCCTTGGTCGCCTGTTGATGAGGAGGTGGTTCCTTGGTCTCCTGTAGATGAGGAGGTGGTTCCTTGGTCTCCTGTAGATGAGGAGGTGGTTCCTTGGTCTACTGTTGATGAGGAGGTGGTTCCTTGGTCTCCTGTTGATGAGGAGGTGGTTCCTTGGTCTCCTGTTGATGAGGAGGTGGTTCCTTGGTCTCCTGTAGATGAGGAGGTGGTTCCTTGGTTTCCTGTTGATGAGGAGGTGGTTCCTTGGTCTCCTGTAGATGAGGAGGTGGTTCCTTGGTCTCCTGAGGAGGTGGTTCCTGGGTCTCCTGTAGATGAGGAGGTGGTTCCTTGGTCTCCTTTAGATGAGGAGGTGGTTCCTTGGTCTCCTGTTGATGAGGAGGTGGTTCCTTGGTCTCCTGATGAGGAGGTGGTTCCTTGGTCTCCTGATGAGGAGGTGGTTCCTTGGTCTCCTGATGAGGAAGTGGTTCCTTGGTCTCCTGATGAGGAGGTGGTTCCTTGGTCTCCTCCTGATGAGGAGGTGGTTCCTTGGTCTCCTCCTGATGAGGAGGTGGTTCCTTGGTCTCCTGTAGATGAGGAGGTGGTTCCTTGGTCTCCTGTAGATGAGGAGGTGGTTCCTTGGTCTCTTGTTGATGAGGAGGTGGTTCCTTGGTCTCCTGTAGATGAGGAGGTGGTTCCTTGGTCTCTTGTTGATGAGGAGGTGGTTCCTTGGTCTCCTGTTGATGAGGAGGTGGTTCCTTGGTCTCCTGTAGATGAGGAGGTAGTTCCTTGGTCTACTGTTGAGGAGGAGGTGGTTCCTTGGTCTACTGTTGATGAGGAGGTGGTTCCTTGGTCTCCTGTAGATGAGGAGGTGGTTCCTTGGTCTCCTGTTGATGAGGAGGTGGTTCCTTGGTCTCCTGAGGAGGTGGTTCCTGGGTCTCCTGTAGATGAGGAGGTGGTTCCTTGGTCTCCTGTAGATGAGGAGGTGGTTCCTTGGTCTACTGTTGATGAGGAGGTGGTTCCTTGGTCTCCTGTTGATGAGGAGGTGGTTCCTTGGTCTCCTGTTGATGAGGAGGTGGTTCCTTGGTCTCCTGTTGATGAGGAGGTGGTTCCTTGGTCTCCTGTTGATGAGGAGGTGGTTCCTTGGTCTCCTGTAGATGAGGAGGTGGTTCCTTGGTCTCCTGTAGATGAGGAGGTGGTTCCTTGGTCTCCTGTAGATGAGGAGGTGGTTCCTTGGTCTCCTGAGGAGGTGGTTCCTGGGTCTCCTGTAGATGAGGAGGTGGTTCCTTGGTCTCCTGTAGATGAGGAGGTGGTTCCTTGGTCTCCTGTTGATGAGGAGGTGGTTCCTTGGTCTCCTGTAGATGAGGAGGTGGTTCCTTGGTCTCCTGTAGATGAGGAGGTGGTTCCTTGGTCTCCTGTAGATGAGGAGGTGGTTCCTTGGTCTCCTGTTGATGAGGAGGTGGTTCCTTGGTCTCCTGTTGATGAGGAGGTGGTTCCTTGGTGTCCTGTTGATGAGGAGGTGGTTCCTTGGTCTCCTGTTGATGAGGAGGTGGTTCCTTGGTCTCCTGTTGATGAGGAGGTGGTTCCTTGGTCTCCTGTTGATGAGGAGGTGGTTCCTTGGTCTCCTGTTGATGAGGAGGTGGTTCCTTGGTCTCCTGTAGATGAGGAGGTGGTTCCTTGGTCTACTGTTGATGAGGAGGTGGTTCCTTGGTCTCCTGTTGATGAGGAGGTGGTTCCTTGGTCTCCTGTAGATGAGGAGGTGGTTCCTTGGTCTACTGTTGATGAGGAGGTGGTTCCTTGGTCTACTGTTGATGAGGAGGTGGTTCCTTGGTCTCCTGTTGATGAGGAGGTGGTTCCTTGGTCTCCTGTTGATGAGGAGGTGGTTCCTTGGTCTACTGTTGATGAGGAGGTGGTTCCTTGGTCTCCTGTTGATGAGGAGGTGGTTCCTTGGTCTCCTGTAGATGAGGAGGTGGTTCCTTGGTCTACTGTTGATGAGGAGGTGGTTCCTTGGTCTACTGTTGATGAGGAGGTGGTTCCTTGGTCTCCTGTTGATGAGGAGGTGGTTCCTTGGTCTCCTGTTGATGAGGAGGTGGTTCCTTGGTCTCCTGTTGATGAGGAGGTGGTTCCTTGGTCTCCTGTTGATGAGGAGGTGGTTCCTTGGTCTCCTGTTGATGAGGAGGTGGTTCCTTGGTCTCCTGTTGATGAGGAGGTGGTTCCTTGGTCTCCTGTTGATGAGGAGGTGGTTCCTTGGTCTCCTGTAGATGAGGAGGTGGTTCTTCTACTGAAGAGGAGGTGTCAGAGATCTTCTGTAGGACACAGTCTGTGAAGCGAGGACAGTCCCCTGGGGGACCCCACACTGACAGCCTGAGTCCATACAGGGCTCCTAGCATTCATACAGTAGTCAGCTGAAGTTCTGGCCCATTCCTCCTGACAGTTGTCAGCAGTAGTTCTGGCCCATTCCTCCTGACATTAATCAAACACAAACTAACCTGAAGACCCGTCCAAAGTTCCCGTGGACTTTGTAAACACCGTAGAGTCGGTCCGCTACTCTCTGCAAGACAACAAGATGTGAGGAAGAATAAACATGGGTCGACTGACAGAATTCATTTATCTACATTTATAATATTAAGTCTTCTTTATCTATATAGCACTGGTCTGAAAGGGATCACATTCTGAACTATTGTTCTAATGGTAGGGGAAACCGGAGCAACAGGAGGAAACCTACACAGACACAGGGAGAACATTCAAAGTCCACATGTGAAGGTCTGGAATCAGACCCAGAACCTTCTCGCTGTGAAGCACGAGTGCTAACCACTCTGCCGCATGTTAGAGGACTCTAGAACACTCCAACTAGTGGTGAAAGTGAGAAATTACACTCTTTAGTGTGCAGCAGATGAACTTCGCACTGATTTGCAGAAAACAGCCACTGTCCGCCAACTTGAGACACTTACGGCTCGCGCTCGCAGCAGCTGAGACGTGTGCGACTGCAGCTCGTCACTGTAGTGCTTCATCTCCATGAACCGCCTGAACACAGACCAGCAGTTAGCATGTTAGCACGGTGTGAGCTTGGTGTTAGCCTGGTGTTAGCATGTTAGCACGGTGTTAGCATGATATTAGCATGATATTATCATTGTGTTAGCATGTTAGCATGGCGTCACTTCTCACCGGTCTGGGTTGCGGACTCTGAAGGTCGCACTGAGCGCTCGGAGTCTGGAGTCGGCCTGAACAAACACATGAGAATTATATGAAAACTGTTTTGGGCTGAAGGAAAGGACGGCGTGTTGTTTGGAGCCGTGTTGTTAGGACCCGTGTTGTTTGGACCCGTGTTGTTTGGACCCGTGTCACACTGACATGGGCACAATCACATGTAAATGAAATCCTGAAGTAAGGAAATATATCTTTAAACTATTTCTTGATTTATTATAAGTTAATGAGAGACTAAAATAGTAAATTCTCTTTAACAGTCTGTGATTGGTCAGAGTGTCTCTCTCGGTGCTCACATACCTTTGCCTGGAAGCCAGTTTCGTACACTGCCTCCTTCCAGCCGTGCTCCTGAACACAAACAAGTTTATCACACAATCAGTGAAGACTACACAATAACACAGTTTAAACCATCTCCATAGCAACACGCAGCTGTCACCTTAGCAACATGCAGCTGTCACCTTAGCAACACGCAGCTGTCACCTTAGCAACATGCAGCTGTCACCGTAGCAACACGCAGCCGTCACCGTAGCAACACGCAGCCGTCACCGTAGCAACACACAACAGTCACCATAGCAACACACAGCAGTCACCAGAGCAACACACAGCAGTCACCAGAGCAACACACAGCAGTCACCATAGTAACACACAGCAGTCACCGTAGCAACACACAGCAGTCACCGTAGCAACACACGGCAGTCACCAGAGCAACACACAGCAGTCACCATAGTAACACACAGCAGTCACTGTAGCAACACACAGGAGTCACCGTAGCAACACACAGCCATCATCGCAGCAACACACAGCCGTCTCCATAGCAACACACAGCAGTCACCATAGTAACACACAGCAGTCACCGTAGCAACACGCAGCCGTCACCGTAGCAACACGCAGCCGTCACCGTAGCAACACGCAGCCGTCACCGTAGCAACACACAGCAGTCACCGTAGCAACACACGGCAGTCACCGTAGCAACACAGGAGGTGGAGTGAAGATAAACATGAGAAATATTTTTTTTGTAAAGAGTTAAATATAATAAATATATGTTTATAATATGGTCATAGCAACCGTTGTTAGGGAGCTGTTGCTGCTATTGGCTGTGTACTCTCTCCTCTGGGGTGTACTCTCTCCTGTGTTTACTCTCTCCTGGGTGAACTCTCTCCTGTGTGTACTCTCTCCTCTGTGTACTCTCTCCTGTGTTTACTCTCTCCTGTGTGTACTCTCTCCTCTGTGTACTCTCTCCTGTGTTTACTCTCTCCTGTGTGTAATCCCCTGTGTGTACTCTCTCCTGTGTGCACTCTCATCTGTGTGTACTCTCACCTGTGTGTACTCTCTCCTGTGTGTACTCTCTCCTGTGTGTAATCTCTCCTGAGTGTTCTCTCTCCTGAGTAAATTCTCTCATGTGTGTACTCTCTCCTGTGTGTAATCTCTCCTGAGTGTACTCTCTCCTGAGTATACTCTCTCCTGAGTATACTCTCTCCTGTGTGTACTCTCTCCTGAGTATACTCTCTCCTGAGTGTACTCTCTCCTGTGTGTACTCTCTCCTGAGTGTACTCTCTCCTGTGTGTACTCTCTCCTGAGTGTACTCTCTCCTGAGTGTACTCTCTCCTGTGTGTACTCTCTCCTGTGTGTAATCTCTCCTGAGTGTACTCTCTCCTGTGTGTACTCTCTCCTGTGTGTAATCTCTCCTGAGTATACTCTCTCCTGTGTGTACTCTCTCCTGAGTATACTCTCTCCTGAGTGTACTCTCTCCTGTGTGTACTCTCTCCTGAGTGTACTCTCTCCTGTGTGTAATCTCTCCTGAGTGTACTCTCTCCTGTGTGTACTCTCTCCTGTGTGTACTCTCTCCTGAGTATACTCTCTCCTGAGTGTACTCTCTCCTGAGTGTACTCTCTCCTGAGTGTACTCTCTCCTGTGTGTACTCTCTCCTGAGTGTACTCTCTCCTGTGTGTACTCTCTCCTGTGTGTACTCTCTCCTGAGTATACTCGCTCCTGTGTGTACTCTCTCCTGTGTGTAATCTCTCCTGTGTGTACTCTCTCCTGAGTATACTCGCTCATGTGTGTACTCTCTCCTGAGTGTAATCTCTCCTGTGTGTACTCTCTCCTGAGTATACTCGCTCCTGTGTGTACTCTCTCCTGAGTGTACTCTCTCTTGTGTGTACTCTCACCTGAGTGAGAAAGAGTTGTAGGATCCTGTCGTTGCTGAGCAGACGATGGTCTGAGACTCGCAGCAGAAAAGTCTCGAGTCCGAGTCTGCGTCGCTCCACGAAGTCTGGCTCCATGTTGTCGGCCGAGAGTCTATGCCACAGGAACTCTGCCTGAAGAGGAGAGAGTACACTGGTGAGAGAGTCCAGAGAGAGACCATAGAAAGAGACTAAAGAGAGAGAGACCATAGAGTCCTGGTCCTACCCTCTTCTCTGGCAGTGGGGGGACGATCACACAGGGGTAGGACACCAGCAGATAGTGCCTCAGGAGCTCAAACTCACTGTACCTCCTCCACACGGAGTCAGGGGCCGGGTTCCTGCCCTCAGCCAGGGCATCCAGGGGCCTGAGGACCAGAGAGGGACCAGTGAGACCAGAGGGGGACCAGTGAGACCAGAGGGGGACCAGAGAGAGACCAGAGAGAGACCAGAGAGGGATCAGAGACAGACCAGAGAGAGACCAGAGAGAGACCAGAGAGAGACCAGAGAGAGACCAGAGAGGGATCAGAGACAGACCAGAGAGAGACCAGAGAGAGACCAGAGAGAGACCAGAGAGAGACCAGAGAGGGACCAGAGAGAGACCAGAGAGGGACCAGAGAGAGACCAGAGAGAGACCAGAGAGGGACCAGAGAGAGACCAGAGAGAGACCAGAGAGGGACCAGAGAGAGACCAGAGAGGGACCAGAGAGAGACCAGAGAGGGACCAGTGAGACCAGAGAGAGACCAGAGAGAGACCAGAGAGGGACCAGAGAGAGACCAGAGAGAGACCAGAGAGAGACCAGAGAGAGACCAGAGAGGGACCAGAGAGAGACCAGAGAGGGACCAGAGAGAGACCAGAGAGAGACCAGAGAGGGACCAGAGAGAGACCAGAGAGGGACCAGAGAGAGACCAGAGAGGGACCAGAGAGAGACCAGAGAGGGACCAGTGAGACCAGAGAGAGACCAGAGAGAGAGACCAGAGAGGGACCAGAGAGAGACCAGAGAGAGACCAGAGAGAGACCAGAGAGAGACCAGAGAGAGAGACTACAGTGACCCTCCTGCTCCTCACCGTGTCTCGATCAGATAAACGCTGTAGTTCTCTCCCAGGTTCACAGCGTTCTTCCCGCTCCTCTTCTCGGCCTCCGCTACAGAGATCTCCAACCTCCTGCTCAGCGGAGACACCTCCTCCATCTGACACACAGAGACTCACAGTAACACCTCTCTCTGGTCTCTCTCTGGTCTCTCCCTGGTCTCTCTCTCTGGTCTCTCTCTCTGGTCTCTCTCTGGTCTCTCTCTCAGGTCTCTCTCTCTGGTCTCTCTCTCTGGTCTCTCTCTCAGGTCTCTCTCTCTGGTCTCTCTCTCTGGTCTCTCTCTCAGGTCTCTCTCTCTGGTCTCTCTCTGGTCTCTCTCTCAGGTCTCTCTCTCTGGTCTCTCTCTCTGGTCTCTCTCTGGTCTCTCTCTGGTCTCTCTCTCTGGTCTCTCTCTGGTCTCTCTCTGGTCTCTCTCTGGTCTCTCTCTGGTCTCTCTCTCAGGTCTCTCTCTCTGGTCTCTCTCTCTGGTCTCTCTCTGGTCTCTCTCTGGTCTCTCCCTGGTCTCTCTCTCAGGTCTCTCTCTCTGGTCTCTCTCTCTGGTCTCTCTCTGGTCTCTCTCTCAGGTCTCTCTCTCTGGTCTCTCTCTCTGGTCTCTGTCTCTCTGTCTCTGGTCTCTAGAATAATATAACATGTGGTGACGTCATTCAGCTGTGATGCTAGCAGCTGTTAGCTGTTAGCTTGTCTTTCGTTTATCCAGTGTAAAGGCCGTGGTGTCCTGTGAGTGTGGACGAGTACCGCGTTGTTGAGGCTGCCTGCCCCGTCACAGCTCGGCTTGGAGTCCTCCTCATCCGTGACCAGAGACTCCTGGTCCTGGTCCTGGTCTCGGTCTTCCTCCATCCTCCCGAGCGGAGCCAGAGCGCATGCGCATAAGAGGTTGTGATGCTCGACCTTGATACTTGGTTAAAGCTAATCACGTCAGTCCCAGACCCAACCAGGCCAGTCCCAGTCCCAACCAGGCCAGTCCCAGACCCAACCAGGCCAGTCCCAACCAGGCCAGTCCCAGACCCAACCAGGCCAGTCCCAGACCCAACCAGGCCAGTCCCAGTCCCAACCAGGCCAGTCCCAGTCCTAACCAGGCCAGTCCCCAGACCCAACCAGGCCAGTCCCAGACCCAACCAGGCCAGTCCCAGTCCTAACCAGGCCAGTCCCAGACCCAACCAGGCCAGTCCCAGACCCAACCAGGCCAGTCCCAGTCCCAACCAGGCCAGTCCCAGTCCTAACCAGGCCAGTCCCAGACCCAACCAGGCCAGTCCCAGACCCAACCAGGCCAGTCCCAGACCCAACCAGGCCAGTCCCAGTCCCAACCAGGCCAGTCCCAGACCCAACCAGGCCAGTCCCAGTCCTAACCAGGCCAGTCCCAGACCCAACCAGGCCAGTCCCAGACCCAACCAGGCCAGTCCCAGACCCAACCAGGCCAGTCCCAGACCACATGCAGCCCGAGAGAGACCAGAGAGAGACCAGAGAGAGACCAGAGAGAGACCAGAGAGAGAGACCAGAGAGAGACCAGAGAGAGACCAGAGAGAGACCAGAGAGAGACCAGAGAGAGACCAGAGAGAGAGACCAGAGAGAGACCAGAGAGAGACCAGAGAGAGACCAGAGAGAGACCAGAGAGAGGGACCAGCAGCACAGAACCATCAACAGCACAGACTTCTTGCTGTTTAGTCTCAAAACAACACAAAAAGAAAGTTCAAGAAAATGTTCATTTGAGAATCTGCTTTTATTAAAATAATCTCAGAAATGTCAATATTTACAGAAAGTGCAAGAAACATTTAGATCCATTTCCCTCAAGATTCAACGGATCAAATACAAATGATTATTAGACCAGAGAGACACCAGAGAGAGAGACCAGAGAGAGACCAGAGAGAGACACCAGAGAGAGACCAGAGAGAGACCAGAGAGAGACACCAGAGAGAGAGACCAGAGAGAGACCAGAGAGAGAGACCAGAGAGAGACCAGAGAGAGACCAGAGAGAGAGACCAGAGAGACACCAGAGAGAGAGACCAGAGAGAGACCAGAGAGAGACACCAGAGAGAGAGACCAGAGAGAGACCAGAGAGAGACCAGAGAGACACCAGAGAGAGAGACCAGAGAGAGAGACCAGAGAGAGACCAGAGAGAGAGACCAGAGAGAGACCAGAGAGAGAGACCAGAGAGAGAGACCAGAGAGAGACCAGAGAGAGACCAGAGAGAGAGACCAGAGAGAGACCAGAGAGAGACCAGAGAGAGAGACCAGAGAGAGACCAGAGAGACACCAGAGAGACACCAGAGAGACACCAGAGAGAGAGACCAGAGAGAGAGACCAGAGAGAGACCAGAGAGAGACCAGAGAGAGAGACCAGAGAGAGACCAGAGAGAGACCAGAGAGAGACACCAGAGAGAGACCAGAGAGACACCAGAGAGACACCAGAGAGAGACCAGAGAGAGACCAAAGAGAGACCAGAGAGACCAGAGAGACCAGAGAGAGACCAGAGAGACCAGAGAGACCAGAGAGACCAGAGAGAGACCAGAGAGACCAGAGACCAGAGAGAGACCAGAGAGAGACCAGAGAGACCAGAGAGACACCAGAGAGACCAGAGAGACCAGAGAGACCAGAGAGAGACCAGAGAGACCAGAGAGACACCAGAGAGAGACCAGAGAGACCAGAGAGACACCAGAGAGAGACCAGAGAGAGACCAGAGAGACCAGAGAGAGACCAGAGAGAGACCAGAGAGACCAGGAAGACCAGTAGTAGTAGTAGTAGTAAGTAATCTTTATTTATATACCGCCTTTTCACTGCAGATCAGAGTCTCAAAGCGGTTTACAATTGTTATTTTTGGGCATTTGTCTCTCACTCCACACAGAGATGGGAGCGGGGTCGCCGGTACAGGAGGCGCATGCTAGAACTATTGGACATATTTTTAGTGGTAGGGGAAACCGGAGTACCCGGAGGAAACCTACGCAGACACGGGGAGAACATGCAAACTCCACTCAGAAAGGCCCTGGTCCGACCGGGATTCGAACCCAGGACCTTCTTGCTGAGAGGCAAGAGTGCTATCCACTCAGCCACCGTGCCGCCCCACCAGAGAGAGACCAGAGAGACCAAAAAGAGCAGAGAGAGAGAAACATGGGAGTGACCATGTGAGGCAGTCAGGAGGAGGTGCTCCTGGATTGACACTTTATAGTTTGGAGGAGAAAGAAGAGGAAAGTGTTGATCAGACACTCAGGGAGCAGCGGCTCTAACACGAGCTGAGGTCTTCTGCCGTTTGTGGCTCGTGGAAAAAAAAAAAACCTTCATGTTTTCAATATTTGACCAGAACCAGAAAGACATCACCGTGGCATCACTCTGGTCTCTCTCTGTCTTCTCTCTCTCTCAGCTCTATCTTTCTCTCTTCTCTCTCTCTGTGGTCTCTCTCTTTCTCTCCTCTGTGGTCTCTCCCTCTCTCTGCTTTCTCTTCTCTCTCTCTCTCCTCTCTGCTTTCTCTCTCTCCTCTCTGCTTTCTCTCTCTCCTCTCTTTCGTCTCTCTCTCTCTCTGCTTTCTCTCTCTCCTCTCTCTGCTCTCTTCTCTCTCTCCTCTCTCTGCTCTCTCTCCTCTCTCTGCTCTCTCTCCTCTCTCTGCTCTCTCTCAGTTCTTTGAGTTGTCTCTCACTCGTGCTCCTCATGTAAAACCATATAAAATCCATTCACATCTGTGTACAGTGTGCTTTGCTCAGACTTCGCCCTTGAGCCCGTCACTCAGCCGCCTCCTCGTCGTCCCGCGATCCCACAAAGAAGCAGAGCTGCTGGGGTGAGGCTGACAGGAGAGGGGAGGCGCTGGGGGGAGGGGGGGAGTGGGGGATCTCCCAGTAGTTCCCGTGGAGGTCCAAAGAGGAGAGAGTAGGGAGAGGGTTCACCTCCAGGGGGCGCTCTGTGCCGAGAGGAGGCGCACTCAGGCACTTCCTCAGGCTCCTGTCACTGCAACAACATGTGACATCACACACACTGTTTATGACAGAGGTGATGTGTTCTCCAGGAGAGAACCCAGAGAGAGAGACCAGAGAGAGACCAGAGAGAGACCAGAGAGAGAGACCAGAGAGAGAAACCAGAGAGAGACCAGAGAGAGAGAAAGAGACCAGAAAGAGACCAGAGAGAGACCAGAGAGAGAGAAAGAGACCAGAGAGAGACCAGAGAGACCAGAGAGACCAGAGGGAGAGACCAGAGAGACCAGAGAGAGACCAGAGAGAGAGAGAGAGAGAGAGACCAGAGAGAGAGAGAGAGACCAGAGAGAGAGAGAGAGACCAGAGAGAGAGAGAGAGAGAGACCAGAGAGAGAGAGAGAGAGAGAGACCAGAGAGAGAGAAAGAGACCAGAAAGAGACCATTGCGTCTGAAACAGGAGAGAGTCAGTACCTGGTCTCTCCTCTTCTCTGTCGATACACATCTCCTGCCATCCCAAAGATCCAGCGCACGTCAGCGGGAACATCTGGTATCCACTCCATGAACCTGCAACAGACACCATCAATGAGACCAGAGAGCAGAGAGAGACCAGAGAGAGAGACTAGAGAGAGACTAGAGAGAGACCAGAGAGAGACCAGAGAGAGAGAGCAGAGAGAGACCAGAGAGAGAGACCAGAGAGAGAGACCAGAGAGAGCAGAGAGAGACCAGAGACAGAGACCAGAGAGAGAGACCAGAGAGAGAGACCAGAGAGAGAGACCAGAGAGAGAGACCAGAGAGAGAGACCAGAGAGAGAGACCAGAGAGAGAGACCAGAGAGTGAGACCAGAGAGAGACCAGAGAGAGAGTAGAGAGAGACTAGAGAGAGACCAGAGAGAGAGACCAGAGAGAGACCAGAGAGAGAGACCAGAGAGAGAGACCAGAGAGAGACCAGAAAGAGAGACCAGAAAGAGACCAGAAAGAGACCAGAAAGAGACCAGAGAGAGATCAGAGAGAGAGACCAGAGAGAGACCAGAGAGAGACTAGAGAGAGACCAGAGAGAGACCAGAGAGAGACACCAGAGAGAGAGAGCAGAGAGAGAGACCAGAGAGAGAGAGCAGAGAGAGAGACCAGAGAGAGAGACCAGAGAGAGAGACCAGAGAGAGAGTAGAGAGAGACTAGAGAGAGAGACCAGAGAGAGAGGAGAGAGAGTACCTCTGAGCAGCAGAGTATGCAGACTGCACTGGGAGTGTATACGGCAGCAACATGTAGGACGCCACTCGCACTGGAAGAGTCCCAGACACAGTGGAGACCAGACCCCGGTCCTGACAGGCCTCACAGAACACTACAGAGAGACACACACACAGAGACACACACACACACAGAGACAGACACACGCACAGAGACACACACACACACAGAGACAGACACACACACAGAGACACACACACACACAGAGACACACACACACACAGAGACACACACACACACACAGAGACACACACACACACAGAGACACAGACAGAGACACACACACAGAGACAGAGACAGACACACAGAGACACACACACACACAGAGACACACACACACAGAGACAGACACACACACAGAGACACACACACACACAGAGACACACACACACAGAGACACAGAGACACACACACAGAGACACACACACACACAGAGACACAGACAGAGACACACACACAGAGACAGAGACAGACACACAGAGACACACACACACACAGAGACAGAGACACACACACAGAGACACAGACAGAGACAGACACACACACACAGAGACACACACACACACAGAGACAGAGACACACACACAGAGACACAGACAGAGACAGAGACAGACACACAGAGACACACACACACACACACAGAGACAGACACACAGACAGACACACACACACACACACACACAGAGACAGACACACACACACACAGAGACACAGACAGAGACAGACACACAGACACACACACACACACAGACGTTTCATTACAACATTGAAATTTCTCCACTGTGGGACGAATAAAGGAATTCTTATGTAAGTAATTAGTAATCTTTAGTAATCTTTATATACCGCCTTTTCACTGCAGATCTGAGTCTGAGTCTATATTTACTAATTGTTTAGAAAACTACCCAAACTGTGGCTTAGTAATTAATGATATAAGCGACCATTTGCCTATTTTTGCAATATTTAACCATAGATTGCCAAACAAGTCAATTATATTATAAGTGTATAAAAGAAAACTGAATGATGAGGTTCTGAATGCTTTCAGAAATGATCGATATGATCAAGACTGGAACAGCATTTATACAAATGATGTGAATACAGCATACGAGTCATTTTTAGAACGTTTCTTACATCTCTACAATAAACATTGTCCAGAGGTTCCATGTAGAGTTAGACGTAATGATAACAAAAAACCTTGGATTACAAATGGTTTACATAATGCGTGCAAAAAGAAAAATAAACTGTACAAGATCTACATAAAAACCAGAACAGAAATGGCTGAAAAGCGCTACAAGGGCTACAAACATAAGACAACCATATTGAGGAATGCCAAAAAGGAATACTACTCTAGAATTCTTTATGAAAACAAACATAACATCAGGGAAACTTGGAAAATTCTGAGCAAGGTAATAGGAAAAAGGAAGGAATCCACAGAAATCCCAAAATACTTTACAAAAGATAAAAAAGTCATTGAAAATCAGGAGGAAATTGTGAATGAACTCCTTTTTTGTAATATAGGACCTAGTTTAGCTGATAAAATTATGTGTAACAAAACATTTAAAGGTGTCTGTAATGGAGGAAAAGATAATCTACAGTCAATGTATCTGTCTGATGTTACAGAAAACAAAATATTAACTGTTGTTCATAAACTTAAAAACAAGACATCAAAGGACAGCGATGGTATTGACATGAGACTGATAAAGATGACTGTAGATTGTATTCTCAAACCATTGCATTATATTTTTAATTTATCCTTTAAAATGGGAATATTTCCAGAACAAATGAAACTGGCTAAAGTCATTCCTCTTTTTAAAGATGGAGATAGACATGACTTTAATAACTATAGGCCAGTGTCATTGCTTTCTCAATTTTCAAAATTATTAGAAAAAATATTTGTAAATAAACTGGACAGTTTTATAAAAACTAATAAATTACTTAATGAGAATCAGTATGGTTTTAGGTCCAATCGGTCAACAAATTTGGATTTAACCAAAATTGTAGAAGAAATATCAACAGCAGTTGATAAAAAGAAATATACTATAGGAGTGTTTATTGATTTGAAAAAGGCATTTGACACTATAGATCATTCTATTCTAATATCTAAATTATATTCATATGGAATCAGAGGAGTAGTCTTGAATTGGTTAACCAGCTATTTAGAAAATAGGCAGCAATATACAGAAGATCCACATGCCTGAATATCAAGTGTGGAGTTCCTCAAGGTTCGATTATCGGACCTAAACTTTTTATTTTATATATAAATGACATTTGTGAAGTGTCAAAGTTATTACAGTTTGTGTTGTTTGCAGATGACACCAACTTTTTCATTTCTGGAAATGATCTAAAAGACCTGGCTGAAAATATTGGAAATGAAATGGTAAAACTGAAAACTTGGTTTGATGACGACAAATGATCTTTAAATATAGCAAAAACAAAGTTTATGGTGTTTGGTAAAAAAAGAAAAACTGAAGTCACTCTATCTATTAACAGCACAATTATTGAAAGAGTGAATGAAATAAAATTCCTTGGTGTAGTGTTGGAAACCACATATAATGGACGTGAAAAATAAAGTATCGAAAAGCGTATTTATTTTGAACAAATCTAAATACATGTTACCCGTCCACATATTGCGAATGTTATATTGTTCTATGATTTTGCCTTATTTTACTTACTGTGTAGAAGTGTGGGGTAACACGTATGAAAGCAGTATAAAATCGTTATCCTTACTACTGTACATAAAAGAGCTGTCCGTATAATACACAGAGCTGCATTTCGAGAACATACAAACTCACTATTCATTAGGTCCAAATTGTTGAAATTTAAAAATATAATAGAATTACAGACATTATTAGTCATGTTTAAAGCTAGAAATGCAGCACTACCAGAAAATATACAATCACTGTTTACTGTTACGTCAGAAAATGAAAACTCCAGGAGAAGGTTTGACTTTAAACACCAGTTTGGACGAACAACATTAAAACAAATGTGTTTATCGGTCAGAGGTGTCAAACTGTGGAATGCTCAGGAAAATGAATCAAAACGTTGTCAAAATATTTCTCAATTTAAAAAGTTGTATATAGTAAAAATGATTTAATCATATGAAGCTCTTGAGTAATTGGATGTATTTGTTTAAATGCAAATTTGTTGCAAATGCATTTGCATCAAAACATATGTAAATGTTTTTTTGTTTAAAAAAAATGTGTTGGTGAAACTGGCACCGTGTGAAAGCCCAGGGTTGATATGATTTTGAAAAGGGGCAGAAAAACATAAGAATTGTATTCTTCTTTTCTGCTCCTTTCCTTCATGTAAATGTTGAAATTATGAATGTAATTATTATTATGTGAACATGTGAACAAAGCATTTTCATGAAAGGAACAAATAAATAAATAGAAAAATAGAAAAAAATAGTCTCAAAGCGGTTTACAATTGTTAATTTTGGGCATTTGTCTCTCACTCCACACAGAGATGGGAGCGGGGTCGCCAGTACAGGAGGCACATGCCAGAACTATTGGACATATTTTTAGTGGTAGGGGAAACCGGAGTACCCGGAGGAAACCTACGCAGACACGGGGAGAACATGCAAACTCCACTCAGAAAGGCCCTGGTCCGACCGGGATTCGAACCCAGGACCTTCTTGCTGAGAGGCGAGAGTGCTAACCACTCAGCCACCGTGCCGCCCATCTTATCTTAAAATTACCAGAAAACATCCCAAGCGGTACATGCTGAGAAACCTATGATTGTATAATCTGTCACATGACCCTCTGTCACATGACCCTCTGTCACATGACCCTCTCCCTCTGTCATTTGACCTGTCCTCACCTCTCTTGATGCTCCCTCTCCCTCCCTCCCCCTCCTCCTCCCTCCCCCCTCCTCCCCCCTCCCCCTCCTCCCTCCCCCTCCCCCTCCCTCCTCACCTCTCTTGATGCTCCCTCTCCCTCCCTCCCCCTCCTCCCCCTCCCTCCCTCCCTCCCCCCCCTCCTCCCTCCCCCTCCCCCTCCCTCCTCACCTCTCTTTGATGCTCCCTCTCCCTCCTCCCCCTCCTCCCCCTCCCCCTCCCCCTCCTTCCTCACCTCTCTTGATGCTCCCCCCTCCCCTCCCTCCCTCCCCCTCCCTCCCCCCCTCCCTCCCCCTCCTCACCTCTCTTGATGCTCCCCCTCCCCCTCCTTCCCCCTCCCTCCCCCTCCCTCCCCCTCCTCACCTCTCTTGATGCTCCCTCCCCCCTCCTCACCCCATCCCTCCCTCCCCCTCCCTCCCCCTCCCTCCCCCTCCCTCCCCCTCCTCACCTCTCTTGATGCTCCTGGGCAGATGCAGGTTCTGGTCTAACCACCAGTGCTGTTTTCCCAGGAGTTTGAGTCTGCGAAGGAGCCACTCTCTGGTGCTCTCGGTCTGGGCACAACAGCAGCTGACGTCAGGGTCCGAGGAGGAGCAGGAGGGGGAGGAGGAGGAGGAGCAGGAGGGGGAGGAGGAGCAGGAGGGGGAGGAGGAGCAGGAGGGGGAGGAGGAGCAGGAGGGGGAGGAGGAGGAGGAGCAGGAGGGGGAGGAGGAGGAGGAGCAGGAGGGGGAGGGTCCGGAGGAGGGATGGGCCAGCACCAGCAGGTCTGAGGCACAAGAGTTTACAGAGAGGAGAGAGACTGAGGAAACTGGGCCAATAACAGAAGGATCCAAATGTGTGTTCTCTGGTCTCTCTCGCTGGTCTCTCTCTCTGGTCTCTCTCTCTCTGGTCTCTCTCTCTGGTCTCTCTCTCTGGTCTCTCTCTCTGGTCTCTCTCTCTGGTCTCTCTCTCTGGTCTCTCTCTCTGGTCTCTCTCTCTGGTCTCTCTCTCTGGTCTCTCTCTCTGGTCTCTCTCTCTGGTCTCTCTCTCTGGTCTCTCTCTCTGGTCTCTCTCTCTGGTCTCTCTCTCTGGTCTCTCTCTCTGGTCTCTCTCTCTGGTCTCTCTCTCTGGTCTCTCTCTCTGGTCTCTCTCTCTGGACTGTCTTGCATGAGCTGTTTGTGTGTCACTCACTGTTGTCCTCCAGGAAACGGAGAGCGTCTTTGTATCCGCTCTGACACATCTCAGCCAAGACCTGCACACACAAGGAGTTATACTGTGTGTGTGTGTGTGTGTTTGTGTGTGTATGTGTGTGTGTCAGTGTGTGTGTAGTGTGTGTTTGTGTGTTGATCCTCAGATTAGCTTCAAACACTTAAAGTGGTCCAATCCACTGTGATTACACCATAAAGACCTGAGACCATTAAGTCTTTATGGTTGGACCTGTGGCTCTGGTGGGAACAGGGTTAATGTGGTCCAGGTCTGGGTCCAGGTCCACGTCCAGGTCTGTGTCCAGGTCTAGGTCCAGGTTTGTGTCCAGGTCTAGGTCCAAGTCCGGGTACAAAGGTCCAAGATCCACAGGTGTCACAACGAGGACACGCCCCTGAAATAACCTCCTCTGATTGGTTCAACAGTTAAGCTTAACAACTATGTGAGCAGCACCAGAAAGTCCAGACTCTGCTTCACGTGTTCATGTCTCATGTGTTCATGGTTTCACGTGTTCACATCTCATGTGTTCATGTGTTCACGTCTCATGTGTTCATGTTGCATGTGTTCATGTCTCATGTGTTCACGGGTTCATGTATCATGTGTTCACGTGTTCATGTGTTCACATGTTCATGTCTCATGTGTTCATGTCTCATGTGTTCATGTCTCATGTGTTCATGTCTCATGTGTTCATGTCGCATGTGTTCACATGTTCATGTCTCATGTGTTCATGTTGCATGTGTTAACGTGTTCATGTCTCACGTGTTCATGTGTTCATGTCTCATGTGTTGCAGGTCTGTTCAGTGGCATGTGTTCACGCAGTGTTCAGTTCATTGTCTCATGTCGTGTCACATGTTCATGTTCACGTGTTCATAGGTGTGTGTCACGTGTCATGTCTCATGTGTTCATGTCTCATGTGTTCATGTCCATGTGTTCACTGTTCATGTGTTCACAGTGTTCACGTGTTCAGTGTAGTGTTCACGTGTTCACATGTTCACGTTTTCATCGGTGTTCACGTGTTCACGTGTTCACGTGTTCACGTGTTCACGTGTTCACGTGTTCACGTGTTCATGTGTTCACGTGTTCACGTGTTCACGTGTCACGTGTGTCTGCACCTGTGTCTCTGGGGGGAACAGTGCCTTGCTGAGGCGGTGCAGGTTGCCCAGGCTGAGGTTGATGCTGGTGTTGGTGAAGCGCAGCTCGTGGAAACTGCTGCTGCTGCTGTCTCTGGGACAGATGTCACTCTCTCCACAGAACGGAGAGATACTGATGGTGTTCTTCAGCTCGGACTGAGGCAGGTTATCACTGATGCCCCCGTCCACATACCGCTGAGGAGGAGAGGAGAGAGGAGGTGAGGAGGAGGAGAGGGTGAGGGGAGGAGGAGTGAGAGGAGAGAGAGGAGGAGGAGGAAGAGAGGAGGAAGAGAGAGGAGGAGGAGGAGGAGGGAAGGAGGAGATAGAGAGGAGAGGAGAGAGGAGGTGAGAGAGGAGAGAGAGGAGAGAGGAGAGAGGAGAGAGGAGCGAGGGAGAGAGGGGAGAGGAGGAGAGAGGAGAGAGAGGAGAGTAGGAGAGGAGAGAGGAGGAGAGGAGAGTGAGGAGAGAGGAGGAGAGGCGAAGGAGAGGAGAGAGGAGAGAGGAGAGGAGAGAGAGGAAGAGAGGGAGAGAGGAGAAGGAGAGAGGAGAGGAGGAGGAGAGAGGAGAGAGGAGAGAGGAGGTGAGAGGAGAGAGAGGAGAGAGGAGAGAGGAGAGAGAGAGAGGAAGAGAGGAGAGAGGAGGTGAGGAGGAGGAGGAGAGGAGGAGGAGAGAGGAGAGAGGAAGAGAGAGGAAGAGAGAGGATGAGAGGAGGAGAGGAGGTGAGAGGAGAGAGGAAGAGGAGGAGAGGGGAGGAGAGAAGAGAGAGGAGGAGAGGAGAGGAGGAGAGGAGAGAGGGAGGTGGAGAGGAAGAGGAGAGAGAGGAGAGGAGAGAGGAGAGAGGAAGAGAGGAGGAGAGAGGAAGAGAGAATGAGAGAGGAGAGAGAGGAGAGAGAGGAGGTGAGAGGAGAGAGAGAGGGAGGAGAGGAGAATAGTAGGAGAGATAGAGAGGTGAGAGGAGGAGGATGAGGAGGAGAGGGAGGTGAGAGAAGAGGAGGAGAGTAGGAGGGAGGAGGTGAGAGGAGGAGAGAGAGGAGGAGAGAGGAAGAGAGAGGAGGAGAGGAGAGAGGAGAGAGGAGGAGAGAGGAAGAGAGAGGAGAGGAGGAGGTGAGAAGAGGAGAGAGGAAGAGAGAGGAGGAGGGGAGAGGAGGAGGGAGGAAGAGAGAGGAGAAGAGGAGGTGAGAGGAAGAGAGAGGAGGTGAGAGGAGGAGAGAGGAAGAGAGAGGAGGAAGTGAGAGGACGAGGAGAGAGGAGAAGAGGAGGTGAGAGGAAGTGCACAGCTTCTACACCACGACAGAAAACGCAGTAGTTGCAGCTTGTGGATTTTTACTTCCTCAACATCATTCATTCAGAACCAACATCCTTTTGTAACAACAGCAGTGAAAATGAAAGTGAAACTACAGAGAACAAAGAGAGACCAGAGAGAGACCAGAGAGAGACCAGAGAGAGAGACCAGAGAGAGACCAGAGAGAGAGACCAGAGAGACCGAGACCAGAGAGAGAGACCAGAGAGAGAGACCAGAGAGAGGACCAGAGAGAGACCAGAGAGCGAGCCAGAGAGAGACCAAGAGAGAGACCAGAGAGAGAGAACCAGAGAGAGAGACCAGAGGAGAGAGAGAACCAGAGAGAGACAGGAGAGAGACCAGAGAGAGAGACCAGAGAGAGACGAGAGCCAGAGAGAGAGACCAGAGAGGCCAGAGACCAGAGAGAGAGACCAGAGAGAGAGACCAGAGAGAGAGACCAGAGAGAGACCAGAGAGAGAGACCAGAGAGAGAGACCAGAGAGAGACCAGAGTGAAACTACAGCTGTGGTTTGGTTTGGGTGAAGGAGTAGATTCCTCTTCCGTTAGCGAAGCACTCGTAGCATTAGCACTCGTAGCATTAGCACATTAGCATTAGTCGACCCGCCGCCATTGTTGTGTACGTTCTACTGCGTCCAAATGTACGAAGTGCTGAGGTCTGTTCCACTCTGGAGGCTCAACGTTTACACCTGAAACACCGTCTCCATGGAAACAAAAGGACACGATATACATAGTTCCCACATGACGTCACTACATACGGGGATTTGCCGACCCGGCGCCATTTGTGTTGGCATGCTGTGGGCAAAACAATAGAAAAAGAAGCTGAAACGTGTTAATGTCGTGATAAAGTTGAAAATGGTCATCTCCTGCTGGGTCAATGGATGTTCAAATCGTGCCGGAGGTTCCGTTAAACTTGTATTTTACAGTATACCCATCATTAGACTTCATGAATGTGAGAAGACTAAGCTTTTGTCAGAACAACCACGGAGGTTATGGCTTGCGAAGATAAACAGGCAAGAAACTCCCTCAAAACACGCAAGAATATGCTCGGAGCACTTTGTGTCAGGTGCGTATCGTATCTTATAATGTGTTGACAGACGTAATTTACTCAGTACTAACTTGTGTATGCTGATAGCTGGTAACTTGAGAGTTTCATTATTTAGATTACTTTATTATGAGGAGGATCGGTGTCGCGTCCGAGGCTCTCGAGGGCAACGTAAATGTATTAAATAGATAATAATAGTTCTATGGTGGGCTAAAACAATGTTCACAAACAGCATTGCTTCTGTAAAAAGATCTGTGTCATAAAATAAACTGCTCTTTACGCCTGGAAAAATCAGTTGCCCACCATTCACCAAAACATACGGTCAAAAACGCGGAAATAAACAATAACAGCAATCCAGAGTGTCCGTGTGGCATTAGCATTAATTAAATTAATTGTTAATATAATTAAAATAATTAAATGGAGCTCCAACTGGTAATAAATCTAAAGTTTTTGAGAAATGTTTGCATTGCTTGTTAATTTTTGCTGCATAATTTGATCAAATATGTAAAACATGTCCGTAGCACGTTAAACTGTGGTGCCATTGTATTAATATACAATTATTTGCTCAAAAGTTGCCCTTTTTTTCCAATTTGCGTTTGAATATCTACATTTATTCTCATTCTTCTGTTTAATGGAATGCACAAACACAGCAGCGTGCCATCAAAGATGGCGTCTCCGAGGAGGTCATGTGACATTCATTGGTCTGTGGGAACTATGTATAGGCAAGTTTTTTGGGCATTTCCGGTTTCCGTTCTGACACTGTTTACAGACGTTCTTTTCTTACGTGAAATATGACTCTTATATCGCTGCATTCGGCAAAATCTCGTGCAGAAATTGAGCTTTACACAACTCTGACCTTTTACTGTCGCAGCGTCTCCATGGAAACGGAGCCTAAAAACATTGACGAGGGACATTTTCAAGCTAGTTCCTGTTCAGGCACATGTGAGAGATGAGATACGACTGTAATCTACAGGACTTTGGTCTGTCTCTGACTCCACCCACTGCTGATTATGGACCAGAGAGACCAGAGAGAGACCAGAGAGACCAGAGAGAGACCAGAGAGAGACCAGAGAGACCAGAGAGAGACCAGAGAGAGACCAGAGAGACCAGAGAGAGACCAGAGAGACCAGAGAGAGAGACCAGAGAGACCAGAGACCAGAGAGAGACCAGAGAGAGACCAGAGAGACCAGAGAGAGACCAGAGAGAGACCAGAGAGACCAGAGAGAGAGACCAGAGAGACCAGAGACCAGAGAGACCAGAGAGAGACCAGAGAGAGAACAGAGAGAGAGACCAGAGAGAGAGACCAGAGGGACACCAGAGAGAGACCAGAGAGAGACCAGCGAGAGACCAGAGAGAGACCAAAGAGAGAGACCAGAGAGAGAGACCAGAGAGAGACCAGAGAGAGACCAGAGAGAGACCAGAGAGAGACCAGAGAGAGACCAGAGAGAGACCAGAGGGACACCAGAGAGAGACCAGAGAGAGACCAGAGAGAGACCAGAGAGAAACCAGAGAGACCAGTGAGAGACCAGAGAGAAACCAGAGAGACCAGAGAGAGACCAGAGAGAGACCAGAGAGAGACCAGAGAGAGAGACCAGAGAGAGACCAGAGAGAGAGACCAGAGGGACACCAGAGAGAGACCAGAGAGAGACCAGAGAGAGACCAGAGAGAAACCAGAGAGACCAGAGAGAGACCAGAGAGAGAGACCAGAGAGAGACCAGAGAGAGAGACCAGAGAGAGACCAGAGAGAGACCAGCGAGAGACCAGAGAGAAACCAGAGAGACCAGAGAGAGACCAGAGAGAGAGACCAGAGAGAGACCAGAGAGAGACCAGAGAGAGACCAGAGAGAGACCAGCGAGAGAGACCAGAGAGAGACCAGAGAGAGACCAGAGAGAGACCAGATTGTCAGAGTATAGTTTCTCATTCGACTGCAGCAGATTATCCTCTTGCTCTGAACCCAAACATTTGACCCACTTTGTGTTTGGTTCGAATAATCCAGATTACACCATCACACTCTGCAGCAGCTAGAAATAAAGCTGGGCTGTCTCCCTCTGGTCTCCCTCTGGTCTCCCTCTGGTCTCCCTCTGGTCTCCCTCTGGTCTCCCTCTGGTCTCCCTCTGGTCTCCCTCTGGTCTCCCTCTGGTCTCCCTCTGGTCTCTCTCTGGTCTCTCTCTGGTCTCTCTGGTCTCTCTCTGGTCTCTCTCTCTGGTCTCTCTCTCTGATCTCTCTCTCTGGTCTCTCTCTGGTCTCTCTCTTTGGTCTCTCTCTGGTCTCTCTCTGGTCTCTCTCTCTGGTCTCTCTCTTTGGTCTCTCTCTTTGGTCTCTCTCTGGTCTCTCTCTGGTCTCTCTCTGGTCTCCCTCTGGTCTCCCTCTGGTCTCTCTCTGGTCTCCCTCTGGTCTCCCTCTGGTCTCTCTCTGGTCTCTCTCTCTGGTCTCCCTCTGGTCTCTCTTTGTGTGGGACGTACCACTCCTCTGTAGGACGGGGGGATCAGGCCGCAGTAGACGGGGATGAAGCAGCTGCACACCAGCGCCTGTGGACCATGGAGCAAACCATCAACTCAAACATCGGCTTTATGGATGTGCCCTTTACAGGTGTATACAGAAGACACAGGTGTATACAGGTGTATACAGAAGTACACAGGTGTATACAGAAGTACACAGGTGTATACAGAAGAACACAGGTGTATACAGAAGTACACAGGTGTATACAGAAGAACACAGGTGTATACAGAAGAACACAGGTGTATACAGAAGTACACAGGTGTATACAGAAGTACACAGGTGTATACAGAAGTACACAGGTGTATACAGATCAACACAGGTGTATACAAAAGAACACAGGTGTATACAGAAGAACACAGGTGTATACAAAAGTACACAGGTGTATACAGAAGAACACAGGTGTATACAGAAGTACACAGGTGTATACAGAAGAACACAGGTGTATACAGAAGAACACAGGTGTATACAGAAGAACACAGGTGTATACAGAAGTACACAGGTGTATACAGAAGAACACAGGTGTATACAGAAGTACACAGGTGTATACAGAAGAACACAGGTGTATACAGAAGTACACGGGTGTGTGCTCCTCATCATGTACAGACCATAATAAATATAACTGAGTCTTTTTTCCTAAAGTCTGAATAATATGAGGAACAAGAAAAACTCCCTGGTCTCTCTCTGGTCTCTCTCTCTGGTCTCTCTCTCTGGTCTCTCTCTCTGGTCTCTCTCTCTGGTCTCTCACCTGGTCTCTCACCTGGTCTCTCACCTGGTCTCTCACCTGGTCTCTCACCTGGTCTCTCACCTGGTCTCTCTCTCTGGTCTCTCTCTGGTCTCTCTCTCTGGTCTCTCTCTGGTCTCTCTCTCTGCTCTCTCTCTGCTCTCTCTCTGGTCTCTCCCTGGTCTCTCTCTCTGGTCTCTCTCACCTGGTCTCTCTCTGGTCTCTCCCTGGTCTCTCCCTGGTCTCTCACCTGGTCTCTCACCTGGTCTCTCACCTGGTCTCTCTCTGGTCTCTCACCTGGTCTCTCACCTGGTCTCTCACCTGGTCTCTCACCTGGTCTCTCTCTCTGGTCTCTCTCTGGTCTCTCTCTCTGGTCTCTCACCTGGTCTCTCTCCTGGTCTCTCCCTGGTCTCTCACCTGGTCTCTCACCTGGTCTCTCACCTGGTCTCTCACCTGGTCTCTCTCTGGTCTCTCTCTGGTCTCTCTCTGGTCTCTCTCTCTGGTCCCTCTCTGGTCTCCCTCTCTGGTCTCTCTCTCTGGTCTCTCTCTCTGGTCTCTCTCTCTGGTCTCTCTCTCTGCTCTCTCTCTGCTCTCTCTCTGGTCTCTCCCTGGTCTCTCTCTCTGGTCTCTCTCACCTGGTCTCTCTCTGGTCTCTCCCTGGTCTCTCCCTGGTCTCTCACCTGGTCTCTCACCTGGTCTCTCACCTGGTCTCTCACCTGGTCTCTCACCTGGTCTCTCCCTGGTCTCTCACCTGGTCTCTCACCTGGTCTCTCACCTGGTCTCTCTCTGGTCTCTCACCTGGTCTCTCACCTGGTCTCTCTCTGGTCTCCCCCTGGTCTCTCACCTGGTCTCTCACCTGGTCTCTCACCTGGTCTCTCTCTGGTCTCTCACCTGGTCTCTCACCTGGTCTCTCACCTGGTCTCTCACCTGGTCTCTCACCTGGTCTCTCTCTGGTCTCTCACCTGGTCTCTCACCTGGTCTCTCACCTGGTCTCTCACCTGTATGAGTTCCTCCCTGGAGCTGAAGGTAGAGACCAGGACGTTCTGTCCGTCTGAGACCCGGGTGAGGGAGACGCAGAGGCGGCCTGAGGCCTGGAGGTGAGCGTCCGTGGGCAGGTCCCGGGACAGGCCGCTCTTCAGGACCTTCACCAGGTTAAAGCCCGGGTGCAGGGGGCCCAGGCTGCGGCGGCGGGCCTCTTTGGCCACCTCGATCACATCCTCACAGCACTTTGCTACAGGACATAGCAGTTGCAAAGTCAGGTATACCAGCTTTAAGGAACTAAAGAACACTAGCTCCACAGCGGAGCCTGTCACTCACCGATGCACGCCTGGCTGGCGAGCACTGAGGCGGTCAGAGCTCCGGCAGAAGCTCCATAGATTCTCCCCGCTCCTCGCACCAGGAACGGGGCTCTCTCCAGCAGGCAGCTCGCTACTCCGATGTGGTAGATGCCCAGGAACCCACAGCCCGCGAAGGACAGGTTCCACCCGGAGCTTAGGTCCAGCATGGTGTGGGCATGCTCCAAGCTGTGTCCGGGGAGAGGCGAGGGGCGAGGCGGAGAGAGGAGAGCTGTGTCCCGGGAGAGGAGTGCTCTTTGTGCCTTGGAGAGGTGCCGTATCCCGCTGGGTTAAGCAGCTGTGCAGCGGGGTCAGTGGAGCTCCAGCTGGAGGTTTGTTGTTATATGGAGCACACGGAGGAGGAGCCAGGACCAGAGAGGCGTTCAAGACCATGGGGGAAGACTGACATGCCAGAGAGACCAGAGAGACCAGAGAGACCAGAGAGACCAGAGAGACCAGAGAGGGACCAGAGAGAGAGACTAGAGAGAGACCAGAGAGTCCAGAGAGAGAGACTAGAGAGAGACCAGAGAGAGACCAGAGAGAGACCAGAGAGAGACCAGAGAGAGACTAAGATGTCCCTCGCTTTAATATATAATATATCAATTGTGTGGTCTATGAGACTGTTTTAAAAAAATATGTTGATGATTTCCGTACGTCCTTGAATGCCTCAGGAGTTTCCCAGTCTCTGATTGGCTCAGGCTCCTGTCAGTCACACAGAGAGCCCTGCCTCCCTCTCGGCTGTCAACGGCAGTGACTTTGGACCCACTTTTATCAGAACAATATGTCCTACTGTACTTTACTGTACTTTACTGTACTATACAGTACTATACAGTACTTTACTGTACTATACAGTACTTTACAGTACTATACTGTACTTTACTGTACTTTACTGTACGTAATAACTAAGTACTTGTTATTTATACAATGCCTTTCACAGACCAGAGTCACAAAGCACTTTACAATTCCAATGGGTCCTGGACCAGTCCTGGACCAGTCCTGGACCAGTCCCGGACCTGAAACTGCATCATGTGAATGTTAGAGTCAATAATAAAACATAAAAACATAGAAACAAACATGTTCATGAGCAGTATGTCCAAAACTACAGGTTCATGGAACAGATGACGTGGTTTATGATGTGAGAGAACAATGTTCAGAGTGTTTCTGTAACAGACTTTATCTGTTCTGGTCTCACTAAATCACAACAGGATTTTTCTCAGACTTTACAAAACTGATTCTCAACCACAGATTAGAAAATCAATACATTCAAACACAGGAAATACAATAATAACAAACACATAGACCAAGGCTGTAGATCCAGGACTGAGGCTGTAGACCCAGGACCGAGGCTGTAGACCATAGATCCAGGACTGAGGCAGCTCCAGGCGGGGAGACAGTCCATAGGTGCAGATGGAGGAGGACACCATGAAACAGACAGTGAGACAGCGGGTGAATAGCAATGAACAGACTACAGCTAAAGTCGTAATGATGACAGATAAAGTAGGAAGAAGATAGTGCTCAATGTCTCTCTCTCTGGTCCTCCTTTGGTCTCTCTCTCTCTGGTCTCTCTCTGGTCTCTCTCTCTGGTGTCTCTCTGGTCTCACTCTGGTATCTTTATGGTCTCTCTCTGGTCTCTCTCTCTGGTCTCTCTCTGGTCTCTCTCTGGTCTCTCTCTGGTCTGGTGTTTGTTTATGATCTTCCCTCGTGCCTCTGTCCGGTCGCGCGCACTGGTCCTGATGCTGCTGCCTCTTGAGCGCGCATGACATCACTCCCTTGCTCTCTGATTGGCTGTGGCCGCTCCCTCTCTGCTCCACGCTGCCGCATCCATGGCTGCGTCCCAAATCAGAGACTTCCTCCTCGTACTTACTTACTTTTGTGAGAACGGAAGTTTGACCCAGAGAATAAAGCTGAGGTACCTAACTTTAAACCCCCAAAACTGGAAGACTAAACTGAGACATGTACCTCAGCTTTAAACATGTGAAATGTATCTGCTGCCTCGGTCCTGGATCTACAGCCTCAGTCCTGGGTCTACAGCCTCAGTCCTGGATCTACAGCCTCAGTCCTGGGTCTACGGCCTCAGTCCTGGGTCTACACCCTCAGTCCTGGATCTACGGCCTCAGTCCTGGGTCTACGGCCTCAGTCCGGGGTCTACAGCCCCAGTCCTGGGTCTACGGCCTCAGTCCGGGGTCTACAGCCCCAGTCCTGGGTCTACTCCGCTCCAATGCTACATAGCTGCCCGCGCGCCTGCTGTTTACAAATCGCTTTGGTGAAAATTTGACGTTACTTGTAAAAAATGTTCTTGTGATCAAACGAAATCAAGAGGGTCCAGAGAAGGGGTTAGGGTTCCAAATTTGGGGAGTGCAGTCTCCTTTGGGGACCCTTGAACTGTGTTTTATAATCATAATAAAAGGAAGGAGATTTGCGAGGCCCCTGTGTGGTGCGAGGCCCTGTGCGCGGCACATGTCGCACAGCCTTGGCGGGGGCCTGATTTTGGGAGAGGGGTTTAAGTCAAGAGAGGGCATTATTTTATTTTCTAATTCATACAAAAATGATAAATAGACTGTAAAAGTGGTCCAAAAGGCCATGGAGTATAAGCACTCCGTTCAGTAGGTGGCTGTATACGGGCAATATTGATCTTAGCCGCCATTAAAGAACAGAAGCAGCCTCCATCAGTCTGCGGCATGCGCCTCGCCTCAGTCTTTGTCTAGCGTCTGAGGAGGTGGGTCACGTTTTTACACTCTAACATGATTTCGGTGTTTATAATTAGAAAAAACTTTGAATATCCAAAGTTAAATTGTTATTTATGTTGTTACAATTGCAAATGTACAAAGTCATGTTAAGATATAAGTTAATATAAGTATGTTAGATATAAGTTATATATATGTTAGATAACCTCCACAGTCCTCCTGTATATCAGGCTCTGAGCCCAAAACTGCTTTTCCTTCGAAGCACAAAAGCTCTTGCTCCATAGTGCCTCGTCCATGCTCCTGCTGCAGCCGCTACCGTGCTTCCTTCCAATACACACACACGGACCAATCACAGCGGAGATTCCCTTGCGGCGACTCTTAAAAGGAGCATAAGTAAAAATCTGGCCAAAAGTGGTACTGCAGTCACAGTCAATATTTTGTAGTCCCTCACCCACTCTCCCTGACTCAGGTTGCCAGATTCGCACCAAATCCAGCAGCAAACACAGGGGAATTATTTTATCAGTTGTTTGTCCGTCTCCATTCACATTTCCATGACCAGCCGTGCTAATGCTGAATGAATGTTTTGATTAATGTTTTTTTTATTATTATTATTATTTGAGGATAAAAAACAAAAACAAAATAAAAGACATTCTGATAGTTATGCAAATACAAAAACAAAAGTTCCAAAATATGAGTGGGAAGAATGGATGTGGAACGTATTTCTTCAGCGTATCAACATCGGGTTTGCTCCAGAGGTATCACTTTTTACCATTTTATTTTTTCCCTAACATGTAAAGTCCCACATCAAAAAGAGACTAACATTATTTTAATTTGGGGGTACATGTGGTCTTAAAAGATTATTTTTACAATTAAAGCTATAATCTCAAAAAAACGTCTTGACCTTCATCTTTTACCGTTTTTAGAGCAATCTGTCATAGAATGTGATAACATGCAATAATTACACTAAGACATAGCCCTGGATCGAACCCGGGTTCCTGCATCGTAAGCGCACAGTTTAGACCATAGGAGTCTAGTGGTTCCCAAATGTGGGGGTCCTGACCCCCCGGGGGTCGCGGGAACCCTGGGGGGTCGCAAGATGATTTCCACACAAAAGGACTATAAATATTTTTAATAACGTTAGTAATTTGTCCCCCCCCAAAGCTTAATGCAGCGTCAATCATAAATCCTCACGTTAACACAGCCACAATGCCGCAGTCGACAAAGGTGTCCTGCCTGTTGGGTTGTAAAACTAAAGGTGTTTGGAGGTACAAAATAAATAATACTGCTTTAAAATGAAAACGTGGTTAATATCTACAACAGAAAAACCGGACGGGGGAGGAAAAAGTCTCTTGTATCAGGGGCTGATGGTGCGAAGAGAGGGAGAGAGGGCAGAGGACGGGAGGAGGGAGAGGAGGGAGAGAGGGCCAGAGAGGGAGGGCAGGGAGGAGCCGTGGGCAGAGGAGGGAGGGAGGGAGGGAGGGCAGAGGAGGGAGAGAGGGCCAGAGGAGGGAGGGAGGACAGAGGAAGGAGGGAGGGAGAGCGGGAGAGGGCTGCGGAGGGGAGGGCAGCGGAGGGAGGGAGGGCCAGAGAGGGTGGAGGGCAGCGGAGGGACTGAGAGGCAGCGGAGGGAGAGAGGCAGAGGAGGGCGAGAGGAGGACAGAGGAGGGGAGAGGGCAGAGGCGGGAGAGGAGGGCAGCCGGTTGTAGAACAGGCGTTAAAGAGGCCCTGGCTTTTCGGAGTCAAGGTAAAGAGGTCCGCACCATTAAAAGCCGGGTGGTCCGGTTTTGCCTTAATGACAGTAACTTTGGAAGAGACGCCGCGGGGATTGAACGATAAAGTACACAGCAGAATGCGGCCACCCGCTTTTAATGTGCGGAACCTCTTTACCGCTGACTCCGGAAAAGCCGGGCTCTGTAAAGCGCTGTTCTACGCTGCCTCTCTCCCTCCTCTGCCCTCTCTCCCTCCTCTCGTCCTCCCTCTCCCTCCTCTGCCCTCTCTCCCTTCCGCTGCCCTCTCTCCCATCCGCTGCCTCTTCCCTCCTCTGCCCTCCTTTCCCTCCGTCCGCATGACCCTCTGCCCGCTGCCCCCTCTCTACCTCCCTCCGTACTCTGTCTCCCTCCCTTCTGCCCTCTCTCCCTCCTCTGCCCCTCCCTTCCCTCCATCCCCTCCTCTGCCCCTCTCGCCTCCTTGCCTCTCCCTCCTCTGCCCTCTCTCCCTCCCTCTGCCCTCTCTCCCTCCCTCTGCCCTCTCTCCCTCTCTTCGCACCATCAGCCCTCTGATACAAGTGACTTTTCTCCCTCGGGTTTTCTGTTGTAGATATTAAAAACCACGTTTATTTAAAGCAGGCTATTATTTATTTGTAGACCTCCCAAAACCTTTAGTTTTAGCAAACACAGCAGGGGACACGCTTTGTCGCTTTTGCGCTGTGAGCTCGGTGTTACTGTGATGATTTTGCTTGACGCTGCAATGATGGGGACAAAATTACT